ATAAAAAAAAAATAAAAAAAAAATAAAAAAAATTTGCAGGGGGCCGACATTGTGGTGTAGCAGGTTAAGTTGCTGTCTGTGATGCCTGAATCCATATGGGCACTGGTATGTGTCCCATCTGCTCTACTTATGAACCAGCTCCCTGCTAATGTGCCTAGAAAAGTAGTGGAGAATGCCCCAAGTGCTTGGGTCCCTGCACTCATGTGGAAGACCTGGATGAAGCTCCTGGCTCCTGGCTTTGGCCAGCCATTTGGGGACTGAATCAGTGCAGGGTCTTAGTCCACCCGAACGAGAATGGACTGGGTCCAAAGAAAGGTAAGTGTGCCGCTCACCTGTTCCCCAGCCTCCCATTCCCGGAGACAGTCAGACGCAGCAGGGAGTCAAGCAAGCAAGTCAAGCAAGTCAAGCAAGCAAGAACTCGGTTTATTGCGCGGGTAGCAAAGCCTTTTAAAGCACAAGACTGCAGGATTACTGGGGCAGGGCATAAGGATCAACCAATTACTTAAAAGGTCATTTTTCGGGGCGATTTTCTACAGGACCAGCCACATGTTTGTATACTCGTCATCAGTTGTCGTCACCTCCCCTGATGCTGCGCAGGCAATTAGCTTTGGTGGTAGACAACTTTGGATACCGCCCACCTTACTTCCTTTGGGCGCCATCTTTGAATTGCCACGTGTGCCTAATTTCCCCACAAATCAGCAGACAGATTCTCTCCCTCTCGCTGTAACTTTGCCTTTCAAACTAAAAATAAATCTTTAAAAAAGATTTTCCAGCAGAGGGGCTTTTTAAGTTATGCTATTAATTTATAGTTGTATTGTGTCATTTTCAGTATATTTATTGTGTTGTGTTTGGTCTGTCTTGGACCAAGAGTCAATGTCTCCTATCACTGGTGTATTTTTACTTATTTCTCTGTACATCTGCTGTAGTTTCTCCTTAATGGATCTGGCTATTTTATTATTTGGTGCACTGATATTGTAACCCAGTGTATAGGGTTTAGGGAAGAGGTGAGCAGGTGTACACAGGCAGAGAATCTAAAATAATGCATTTTCTTGAGCTTGTTTTTCAGAGGATGTTACTGGAGAGCTTATCTTGCAGCAATGTACTGAGAGAGGGGCCGACCACCACAGGCAAGGACAGTGCCAGAAACCAGAGTCAGGGTGTTGAATACCCACCGCACAAAGATGTCCATTTCAGGCAGGGAGCCCTCCTGATTCCCTTTGTCTCCATATGATCCCAGCTTTGAAAACTCTGGCAAACTGCTTCTTGGAGAAGCAGCTTCTGTAGGGGGACTGCTCTCTTCCCCATCTCCTTTATTTGTCATAAGTAAATGAAACTTTTGCTCTGAGCAACTCCTGCTTGAGGCTGATGATTTGGTGTTTGCTATGAAAATTCATGACTTAGTGGGACAGTTCCTAACCTTATACTCAGGTAACAAGGAACGAGGCATGGGGCCAGTGACAGTAACAGCTCAGACAGGGCTTACTCTCTCCTGTGGAGTTGCTGCTCTGACCTCTTGGCATAGGAGGGTTCACTTGGTGTCTGGCAACCCTGATTTGCTGAGAGATCCATGAGGTGACATGGCCACCCTTCCTATCCAGCACCTCATGGAATCAAGGAGTAATTTGAAGTCACTGCTCTAATCAGTGTCTAGAGTTTATAACAGTGAAAACCAGGACAGGCAGTGTGTTATCAGGACAGAAGTGGGGCAGGAAAGGGACAGCTCTTTCTGGAATGCCAGAATGTGAGCTTGAGGACCACAAAAAGCAGCCTGAGAAATCTCCAGACTGGGTTTCTGGGTTACTCAGCTCCTTCCTTCCCCATTTCAAAAGTGTGGTGCCACTTTATTTAGCTTTAGAAGTCTCTATATAGACAGGGAATTTCATGTTGTAGAACTGATGAAAATTGTGATGTCTTGGTCCATCTCTCTACTGCTTTCTGGCATTATGTCTGCATGGTTATTCTTCCTTGTTTGTGCATTTGCTAATGATCTGTGAACTCTGGCCATTTCCTACATTGGCTCACTTGCGTTATTCAGAATTCTCTAGAGATGTAGAATTGATGATAGGCATTTAAGTATATGAAGAATTCATTAGCGAATTTGTCTCACACAACTGCAGCAGCTGAGAAACCCAACAGGTTGTCTGCAGGCTGGGGAGCCTAGAATGCCAGTCACGGCTCAGGTCAGTCCAAGGGCTTCAGTGCACGAGAAGCCTGGGTTGTGAGTCTCAGTTCAAGGCCAAAAGCCTGAGTGCCAGTAAGGGAGCTGCAGGTATAGTCCTGGAGTCCAAAAGCCAGCAAGTGACATCCCATACAGGAGTGGAACAAGCCCCACTTCTCTCTGTGAGAACCCATAATTCCTTTCCCACCTAGCTTCTCCAGACTGGCAGCCAATTGATGATGCCTGCCCATATCAAGGCCAGATCTGCGCACATAATACATTCAGATTTGCATATTAATTTTTTGGAAACACCCTCACAGGTACACCCAACATAATGCTTGTCCAGGCTCCTAGGTAGTCCTTGATCCAGTCAATCTGACACTATAAAATTAGCTACCACATGTGTACTGGAGTACCATTACTGGGGTTTGACAAATTTCCCATGCGGGATACTATCCTCATCTCAGTGGAATGTGAAGCTGTGCCCTTATCATCCAGTTCTTTATAAGTCCTAGGATGAAGAGAAAAACTGAACAAGAAATACAGCTGGGGCCACACTGTGGCATAGCGGGTAAAGCTGCCACCTGCAGTGCCAGCGTCCTATATGGGCACCTGTTTGAGTCCCAGCTGCTCCACTTCTGATCAAGCACTATGCTATGGCCTAGGAAAGCAGTAGAGGATGGCCCAAGTCCTTGGGCCCCTGCACCCGTGTGGGGGACCCAGAGGTATCTCCTGGCTCCTGGCTTCAGATCAGCCCAGTTCCAGACATTGTGGCCATTTGGGGAGTGAATCAGTGGATGACTTCTCTCTCCCTCTGTAACTTTGCCTTTCAAATATACATATACATATATATGTATATATATATACATGTATATATACACACACACACATATATATACATGTATATATATATATATACACAGACACACACACATATTTTAAAAAGTGAGTCCTTTAAAAAAATGAAGCCTAGTTCTTCTCAAAGTCCTTCAATGGAAAACAACATACAGTTGGAGGGAGGCAGTGTTGTGGTGCAGTGAGTTAAGTTGCTACCTGCAAGACCAGCATCGCATATGAGTACTGGTTCAAGTGCTGGCTGCTCCACTTCCAGTCCAGCTCCCTCATAATGCACTTGGGAAAGCAGCGGAAGATGGCCCAAGTACCCAGATGGAGTTCCACGCTTCTGGTTTCAGGCTGGCCCAGCTCCGGCTTAGTCAATGTGCACCCTGGAATCAGGAGTGACATCAGGAATGGGAGTGTCCACGCTGTCCCGATTCCTTTCAGCTCCTCTGGACAGAGGAAGCAGTTTGATGAGACCAAGACACTCTCCAGTTGCCTCCACCAGAGGAGCCCTGAACCACTGTAGAAACAGAAGGGGAACTTTTGTAGCATGAGTTTCACTCCTCTATCCTGCGGTGGGGGCGGTACAGGTGCCCTGTTCAACAGGAAACAGTTACAGAAGAATGGCCTTCATCTTTCAAAAACGAGGAGCAAAACGTCTAATGGAGATTTTGTAACCACAAGTGCAGGATTTAGGGGGGGGCATAGGATGATCAGCAGAGAAGCTGAGACAGTTTACTTGCCTGAACTTGCTTTCCTGGAGGGCTTACCCTACACCATGTACACAGCACGTGTACTACATACCACTACACACCCACAAACAAGCAAAGCTCCAATAAACCAGTCCGGGACTTTTCAGCTAGTGTACAGAGATGCCATGGGAAGCAGGAAGGGAACGGCCACTTGCCCTTCTTCTGCATCTAGGCACTTCCTTAGGAACCCTGGCACACCGCCTCTTGGGGACTCAGTTTCCTTGGGGACCATGTCTTCCCACTGTCCTCTAGCTGTCACAGTGAACGAAGCTTTCTTCCGGGCAACTCCCGCGCCAGGATGGGTATTTGGTGAACCCCTGGTGTCCAAGATTGATACCCGACACCGTGATTCCCAAATTCTAGCCTTAACAAGTCGCTTTTTTTTTTCCCCTTGTGCTGACTTTTTACCTGAATTCTGTCTCACTTGCTATAAAGAAATCAGCAGCGTTGGCACTCTGCCAAGAGCAGAATCTCAGTCGGTTTTCTGGCGATCCTGCAGATACGCCTCGTCCCCTGCAATTCTCTTTAAGATTTTTAAAAATTTAATTGAAAGAGAACAGAGGGGCCGGCGCTGTGGCATATCGGGTAAAGCTGCGGTCTGCAGCACTGGCATCCCGTATGGGCACCGGTTCGAGTCCCAGCTGCTCCACTTCCGATCCAGCTCTCTGCTATGGCCTGGGAAAGCAATGGAAGATGGCCCAGGTCCTTGGGTCCCTGCACCCACGTGGGAGATCTGGAAGAAGCTCCTGCCTCCCTGGTTCGGATGGGCGCAGCTCCGGCCGCTGCGGCCATCTGGGGAGTGAACCAGCGGATGGAAGACCTCTCTCTTAACTCTGCCTTCCAAATAAATAAATCTTAAAAAAAAAAAAAAAGTAACATAAAGAGAGGGGGAGAGACAGAGATCTTCTATCCGCTGCTTTACTGCTCAGACGGCCGGGCCTCCCGAGCCAGGAGCTCTACCCGGGTCCCCTCGTAGGTGCAGGGGCCACCCTCCCAGGCTTTCCCACGCCATCAGCACGGAGCTGGATCGGAAGTGGAGCAGCCTGGACCGGCACCGACAGGATGTCGGCGGGAGCCGAGGGCGCGGGGGCCGGGGGCGGCTTCACCCGCTAGGCCACAGCGCCAGCACGGAGCGCTCTCTCCACGGACGCGCAGCCTGTGGGCAGCGGCCTGTTGTCCAGGCTTCCGGCAGCTGGTTGCGTCCCCACCGCCCCAGCCGTGACGCACTTCCTCGTGCGCCGCGCGCCTTCCGGTCTGCGCGCGGCACCGCTTCCGGCCGGCAACAGTGAAGCGCTGGGGACCTGGCTGTCCAGTCGGTGGGGGTGGCCGCTGGCCGGCGAAGACCGAGGACTTGACCGCTGCACGCCTGGCTCGGTCGGCCCAGGGCGTGGACGCAGCCTGGCCGGCCTCGGGATCTTCTGCGTCCGTGCCAACGAACGACACCAGCTCATCGCCGGGACTCCGCGTCCGGGCCCGGAGGCCGCGTCCCTGCGGGCGGCCGGGCCTCAGGCCACACAGGGGCCGACTGGCCGCTGTTGCCTCGGGGTCGGGAGCAGCGGACAGCCCGCGGGTTCTGCAGCTACGCGGCTCGCAGGAAGCTGTAGGGGATGGCCTCCGGGTTACGGACGGCTTCGTATTGGGTAAGTGGGGGTTTCGACGCCGAGGTGGCCGGTCCCACCCAGGGCTGGCCCTGCCCGTGTCCGGGCCTCCAGCAAGGGTGCTTCGGGTGTTCGATGCCCTGGTTACGCTTTGTTCGGGAAATGATACGCCGCCGTTTCGTCCTCGGCTTTGGCTGGTCCTTCGGCCCTCGTGAGGGAGGGTGCCGTCTTTCCTTCAGTGCTTATTCCGGAAGATGCTTATTCCGGGTCCGGTTGTATGGCGGGGGCCTTGGGATGCTGGTTGTGCGTTCACTCTGTACGTTCTTGTTTTTAAGGAGCTCTGGTCTTGTGGGAAGGGTAATCAAATGAACAGTGTGCACAGTTCCAGGTGAGTGGGTAGGGACCCAGGACGAAGTGTTAACAGCTGCCACTCTTGGCTAGACACTCTTTTAATCACTTTCAAGTGTCAACCCTGTGAGCAAATATTTCCCCACTGTGCGAGGAAACCGGGAACCTGCCCAAAGTCCCAGACTCCTAACAGATCCTAGGAGAGGAAGCTGACAGCCCAGACAGTTCATCTGCAGGGTTCGTGCTCTCTTTTTTAATTCATTCTAAATAAATTTTACTTATATTCACTTTATTTGTAAGGCCGAGAGCGAGCTTAGATCCATGGGCTGACTCCCCCAGTGCCTGCAAAATCCAGTCTGAAGTCAGGAGCCTGGATTTCCACCCACTGTTCATTTGATTACGCTTCCCACAAGACCAGTATTCAAGCACTTAACCGTGACAGCTGCTTCCAGGTGCACATTAGCAGGTTGGGGGCGGAGTAGCTGGAATGTGAAGCAGGCATCTGGTGTGAGATGTGGGCATCCCAAGTGGCACCGAAGCACTGTGCCAATACTGGCCTCAGAGTTTATGCTCTTACTGCCTCTTAGGACCTAAAAGAATTGTAAACAGTGTTTCTTTGTTTTTTACTTTTTTTTCTTTAACATTTGTTTATTTTATTTGAAAGAGAATTACAGAGAGAGAGACACAGAGAGAGATGTTCCATCAGCTGGCTCACTCCCCAAATTGCCGCAACAGCTGGGACTGGGCCATGCTGGAGCCAGGAGCCAGGAGCTTCATCTGGGTGTCCCATGTGTGTTCAGAGGCCCAGGGACTTGGGCCATCTTCCGCTGCTTTCCCAGGTGCACTAGCAGGGAGCTGGATCAGAAGTGGACCAGCTGGGACTGGAAACGATGCCCATACGGGCCCCCGGCATCACAGACAGTGGCCTTACCCACTGCGGCACAACATCTGCCTTCTTTTCTTTGATTTTAAGTGCATGTACTAATTTTGTTAGCAGACACAAGGGGTCTGTTTGATTCGGATGTTGCCAAATGGGAGTCAGCCTCAAGTGGGAGTTGTTCAGCGGTAAGCTGTCCTTAATTGTGACAAGTAAAGGAGACAGTGGAATGGTACAGTTCTCTAAGTAAAGGAGACAGTGGAATGGTACAGTTCTCTAAGGAAGCCACCTCTTGCAGAAAGCAGTTAGCCAGGATTTTTATATAGGGGAGCGTCTAGCATGAAGAAAAGGGTCACTGCAATGCACACTGTATGTTCTTATATTATTATGTGTTAAAAGAAATCTTAGACTAGTTTCTTGTACTTTCCTTGTTTGTGGAGGTCTGGACCCCTTAGAAAACAGTGCTTCCATGTAAGCCCTCCAGGGACATTCTCTGATAAACAGGTTTAAGCAAGCAAACTGCCCATATTCTCTACCCATATTCCTGTGCCCACCTCTTGCCTAAATCCAGAACTCTTGGTTACAATTTAACAATCATTGACTATTACGCCAGATAATTTTTTAGAGCATGCAGAGGTAAACAAGACTAGCAGAGTCTATGACCTCATGAAGGTTGTGTGCGTTAGTAGGTCCCCAACTGGATTAATTCCAAGAACTTATCTTGGTGTTAGAGAAGAATTTGAAGTAGAGATATAAAGGACAAGAATGGGAGCAGCCCTGCTAATGCTTCTGGGAAGGCAGCAGAAGATGCCCCAAGTGTTTGGGGCCCTGCCATCTGCTTGAGAGACCCAGATGGAGTTCCTGGTTCCCAGCTTCCGCCCAGCCCAAACCTGGCTGTTGCAGCCATCTGGAGGATGAACCAGCAGATGGAGGATCTCTTTCTGTCCCCATCTTGCTCTGCTTTTCAAATAAATAAATCTTAAAGAAGAAAAGGGATATTCCCAAATAATTCGAATAGCTGTAGAAACAAGGTACACAATAGGAGATAAAAAATTTTTTAATTTATTTGAAAGAGCAACAGAGAGTGAGATAGATCTTCCATCTACTCCTTCACTCCCCAGATGCCTGCAACAGCCAGAGCTGGGCCAGGCTGAAACCAGGAGTCCAGATCTCTTGCATGGGGAGCAAGGACCCAACTACTTGAGCCTCCTAGGATGCTCATGAACAGGAAATGGGATGACAGGGGAGCACAGATGTGATCTTGGGCTTTTCCATATGGGATGTGGGAGTCCCAGGTATTGGTGCACCCCTTGTGTATAGATAGCTCTTTACGTGCGGTGAAACATTATGCTATCGTGCCCTTAGAGTTATTTTATTTTAAATAATTCGAAAACTATGCAGGGGGTGTAGGTATAGTATTAAACCTATTTTTTGGCCGGTGTCACGGCGCACTAGGATAATCCTCCACCTGTGGCACCAGCACACCGGGTTCTAGTCCCGGTTGCGGCACTGGATTCTGTCCCGGTTGCCCCTCTTCCAGGCCAGCTCTCTGCTGTGGCTCGGGAGTACAGTGGAGGATGGCCCAAGTGCTTGGGCCCTGCACCCCATGGGAGACCAGGGGAAGCACCTGGCTCTTGGCTTCAGATCAGCATGGTGCGCCGGCCATAGCGGCCAAAGGAAGACCTTTCTCTCTGCTTCTGTCTCTCACTGTCCACTCTGCCTGTCAACAAAATAAATAAATAAAAATAAAAAAAAAACTATTTTTTATGTTTTTAAGATTTATTTATTTGAAAGGCAAAGAAAGAGATTTTGCTTCTGCTGGTTTACTCCCCATATGACTGCAGCTGCCAGGGCTGGGCCAAGCCAAAGCCAGAAGCCAGAAACTCCATCTGGGTCTCCGGTGTGAGTGGCAGGGACCCAAACACTTGGGCTATCTTGTGCTTCCTTCCCAGGCACATTAGCAGGGAACTGGGTAAGAAGCAGGTCAGCTGGGGCGTTAACTGGCACTCCAATGTGGGATTTCTGCATCGCCGATAGCAGCTTGACTTGCTGCCACGACGCTGGCTCCAAAAGACTATTGTAATCCTACTTTTTTTTTTTTTTTTTTTTAAGATTTATTTACTTATGTGGAAGGCAGAGTTACAGAGAGGCGGCGGGGGGAGGATAGAAGTCTTCCATCCTCTGGTTCACTCCCCAAATAATCGCAACGGCTGGAGCTGCACTGATCCGAAGCCGGGAGCCAGGAGCCCCTTCCAGGTCTCCCAGGCCGGTGCAGGGGCCCAAGGACTTGGGCCATCCTCCACTGATTTCCCAGGCTATAGCAGAGAACTAGATCGGAAGTGGAGCAGCTGGGTCTTGAACTGGCGCCCATATGGATGCTAGCACTGAAAACGGCGGCTTTACCTGCTACACTGTACGCGCTATTGTATTCTTTAAAAGCCCCCAGAAGCTTTCCCAAGAATATGTCCCAAGTCCTTGGGCGTTGCACCCACGTGGAGACCCGGAAGAAGCTCCTGGCTCCTGGCTTTGGATTGGCACAGCTCTGGCCATTGAGACCAGTTGGGGAGTGAATCAGTGGATGGAAGACACACCTCCCTCCCTCCCTCCCTCCCTCTCTCTCTCCCCTTCTCTCTATGTAACTCTGACTTTCAAATAAATAAATAAATCTTAAAAAAAAAAAACAACAACCTCGATACACCTCTTCATCCAGAATCCCCAAATGTTGCCATTTTGTAATATTAGCTTTATCGTTGCCTACGTAGGAATGTATGTGTACGCATACCCTCACTCACTTAGCTCCCTTTCTCCTTCTGCACGTTTCATTGTTCTCCCTGATATCCTCCATCCTGTGAAGCCTGCTCTTCCCTGTGTACCTCATCTGTTTCTCAGGCTTCTTCCCTCCCTCACTTTCTTCCTTCTGTTTTTATTTTTAATGATTTATTTATTTAAAAGGGAGAGTGATAGAGATTGATCTTCCACCCACTGGTTCACTCCCCACATGCCTGCAATAGCTGGGCTTGACCAGGAACATCATCTTGGTCTCCTACATGGCCGGCAGCAATCCCAGTACTTGAACCTGCTGTCTCCCAGGTACGTTAGCAGGAAGGAGGACTGGAAGTGCAGAGTAGTGGTGACTTGAACTGGCACTGTGGTATGGGATGAGGTATCCCAAATGGTAACTTTAATGTGCTGTACCACAGCACTCACCCCCTTCCTTCCTTCTTCCTCCTCCTTCTGCTTTTCTTAACTTTGTTTTATTTTTATTGACACAAATACCATAGGAATTAATTTATTATATGAAAGACTTCTTTACCCCAGCCCATTCTGCTTTCTAGAAAAAAATGCCATTTCCTTTTTTGTTGTGTAGTCTTCCTGTCCTGTTTTGCATAAATGATCATGTACACAGGTATTTTTTTTTTAAAGATTTATTTACTTATTTGAAAGTTAAATTACACAGAGTGAGAAGGAGACACAGAGAGAGAGAGAGGTCTTCCATATGCTGGTTCACTCCCCAGTTGGCCGCAATGGCTGGAGCTGTGCCATTCCAAATACAGGAGCTTCTACTGGGTTTCCCACACAGGTGCAGGGCCCAAGAACTTGGGCCATCCTCCACTGCTTTCCCAGGCCATAGCAGAGAGCTGGATAGAAAGTGGAGCAGCCGGGACTTGAACCAGTGCCCATATGGATGCCAGCATTGCAGGCAGTGGCTTTACCCACTATGCCACAGTGCCGGCCCCACAGGTATCTATTTAAATATGAAAATAAGTTTTCAGCTTTTCTTCCTTAACAGTTTTAATTGCATTTTCTTTTTTAGAAAATGCTATTGTCAGTAACACACTCTGAGGCCCATTGGCCATTTTCCATCCAGGCATCTTCCAGAAGAAACATTATGGCTGTTTCCTTCTATAAATTGTGTGTTTTTTTGTTTTTTTGTTTTTTTATTTGACAGGTAGTTATAGACAGTGAGAGAGCAAATCAGAGAGAAAGGTCTTCCTTCCATTGGTTCACTCCCCAAATTGCTGCTAAGGCCGGTACTGCGCCAATCTGAAGCCAGGAGCCAGGTGCTTCTTCCTGGTCTCCCATGCAGATGTAGGAGCCCAAACACTTGGGCCATCCTCTGCTGCCCTCCAGGGCCACAGCAGAGAGCTGGACTGGAAGAGGAGCAACTGGGACTATTATCCAAGTGAGCCACGGCATTCGCCCCTAAATTGTGTATTTTGCTATCTCCTCTTTTTTTTTTTTTTTTTTTTTTTTTTTTTTTTTGACAGGCAGAGTTAGACAGTGAGAGAGAGACAGAGAGAAAGGTCTTCCTTCCGTTGGTTCACCCCGCAAATAGCCACCACGGCTGGTGCGCTGTGCTGATCCGAAGCCAGGAGCCAGGTGCTTCCTCCTGGTCTCCCATGCATGTGCAGGGCCCATTGCCATCTCTTAAATTTATTTTAGATCTCTTATACAAATAGTTTTTACATTCCTTTTAATAATTGCATTCTAGAGCCCACAGTACAAGTAGGCTACATTTTATTGAGCTGTTTCCCTCCAGTGGGAATTTAATCTTTGTAAACTGGCCTGCCTATGTCCTGAGTATGAGAAGCCCCCAGGAAGTCCCCCCTTTGTTACTCATAGATAGAACTCTCAGCTTTTGGTTCTACTGAAAATTTCTATTTTTTTTTCTCTTTAAACATTTATTTATTTATTTATTTGAGAGACAGAATTACAAAGAGAGGTAGAGCCAGTGAGATAGAGAGGTCTTCCATCCACGGTTCACTCCCCAAATGACCACAATGGCCAGAGTTGAGCTGATTGGAAGCCAGGAGCCAGGATCTCCTTCTGGGTCCCCCAAGCAGGTATAGGGACCCAGGGACTTGGGCCATCTTATGCTGCTTTCCCAGGCCACAGCAGAGAGCTGGATCAAAAGAGGAACAGCAGGACTTGAACTGTCACCCATATGGGATGCCGCACTGCAGGCTGGGGCTTTAACCCACTGCGCCATAGCACTGGCCTGGGGACATTTTCTATTTTGAAACAGTGGAAGATGGCCCAAGTTCTTGGGCCCCTACACCCACATGGGAAACTCGGAAGAAGCTACTGGCTACTGGCTTCAGATAGGTGCAGCTGTGGCCATTGCAGCCATCTGGGGAGTGAACCAGTCGATGAAAGACTCTCTCTCCCTCTCTCTCCCTCTCGCTCCCTCTCTCTCCCTCTCTCTCCCTCTCTCTCTCCCTCTCTCTCCCTCTCTTTGCCTCTCTCTGCTTCTCCTCTCTCTGTCAGCGCCCATATGGGATGCCGACACTGCAGGTGGTGGTTTTACCTGCTACAACACAGCAACAACCCCAATTTAACATTCTTTATGGTAAAAACATTGAAACCCTCTCTTGAGTTTTTTTGAGTTTGTCATGGGTCTGCGTTGCTACATAGTAGGTAAAGCAGTATCTCTCTTTTTTTTTTTTTTTTTTTTTTGACAGGCAGAGTGGACAGTGAGAGAGAGAGAGAGACAGAGAAAGGTCTTCCTTTGCCGTTGGTTCACCCTCCAATGGCCGGTGCACCGCGCTGATCCGATGGCAGGAGCCAGGTGCTTCCCCTGGTCTCCCATGGGGTGCAGGGCCCAAGCACTTGGGCCATCCTCCACTGCACTCCCTGGCCACAGCAGAGAGCTGGCCTGGAAGAAGGGTAACCGGGACAGAATCCGGCGCCCCGACCGGGACTAGAACCCGGTGTGCCGGCGCCGCAAGGCGGAGGATTAGCCTATTGAGCCGCGGCCCCGGCTTCTGTTTCTTATCTAACTCCCTGCTAATTCATCTTGAAAAGCAGTGGAGGGTGATCCAAGTACTTGGGTCCCTGCCACCCACATGGGAGACCTGGATGGTGCTTTGAGCTCCTGACTTTGGCTTAGCTTAGTCCTGGCCATTGCAGTCATTTGGGGAGTGAACCAGCAGATGGAATCTCTCTGTGTGTGTGTGTGTGTGTGTGTGTGTGTCTGTGTGTCTAGAACTTATAATTCTGCCTTTCAAATAAGTAAATCTTTATTATATTAACATTATCCATAGTCACCCTTCTGTGCAGTCGAACTGCAGAACATTTTACTCCCATCCTACTGTAACTTGCAACTCTACGTTTTTTAGTGGTCACCTTTAAGTCTATCACAGACATCTCCAACTTTTCCTTTTTAAACAAAGTCTAAAGTTGGTATCTTTTTTCAAATGAAAATGGTTCTTTTATACACTATACTTTTTATTTTCTGTTATTGTCATCTATTTGTGTTACACTGATGCCAAATAGTAGCAGATTGTAATTTTAGTTCTGGGGCATGAGGAAATATGTTTAAAATGCATTTAAATCTGTATTGAGATTTACCAGTGCATATATAATATTTGACAGGCAGAGTGGACAGTGAGAGAGAGAGACAGAGAGAAAGGTCTTCCTTTGCCTTTGGTTCACCCTCCAATGGCCGCCGCAGCTGGCGTGCTGCGGCCGGCGCACCATGCTGATCTGAAGGCAGGAGCCAGGTGCTTCTCCTGGTCTCCCATGGGGTGCAGGGCCCAAGCACTTGGGCCATCCTCCACTGCCTTCCCGGGCCACAGCAGAGAGCTGGCCTGGAAGGGGGGCAACCAGGACAGAATCCGGCGCCCCGACCGGGACTAGAACCTGGTGTGCCTGCGCCGCAAGGCGGAGGATTAGCCTAGTGAGCTGCGGCGCTGGCCATCCAATGCATATATTTTACTCACTTCATTGCTCACCATTATATATAGCTTCCCACTAATTCCTTCTGTGTTTTTTTCTTGATGTGTATCTCTGGAATATTGATTTTCCAAGTGCTTGTACAATTAAAAGTATCCTTTTCCTTATTGTTGACTTTTAGCCTGGCTAGTATAAAATTTCAGAAAAAAAAAATAACTTTTCTTTGACACTTTTCTCCTCCCACTCAGGAAATCTTCTTTTCCCTTTGTTGCTTGTCAGATGTTCTCTTTAAACTTTATTTCAGAAGTTTATCACCATCTGCTTAAGATTGGATGTTTTGTTAGAAGGTGATCTTTTCACTTGGTGGGTTTTTCTAAAAGGAACTCCTATATTTGTCTTTATTTTTGGAAACTGTCAGCCTACCTTTCTTCAAATGTTGCTGTAATGTTTCCCAATGTAAACCTACATTGGCTATTCTTTTCTACAGGAAAAGTATTCTAGGTTTGTTTTGCAGTCTGGCCCTTCCCTATTCATCCTTCACAATTACTTTCTCTATTTCTGAAATAGTTGCAGTGTCTTGAATTTACCAGGCCCTGCCACGTGTTGTACAGTGCTTGCCACTTCTCAGGGTCTGCAAGTTATCTCTCAGTAGTTTTTCTTTCTTCGTAAGGTCTTTCAGCTGAACATGTGGAGAAGCAGACTACATTTCCCAGTGTCCCTGCTGCTTCAAATCCAAATGTGGTGACTGAATCTTAGACCTGAGTTCCCCAGCAATGGAGCCATGCATGGCAGAGCAAAAAGATGGAAGGTGACTGAGTCTCTGACTGTGCATTTGTCCCTGCCCCAGGCCCATTCGCCTCAGCCTCCTGCAAGTAGAAGCAGGATGACCTGTGAAATCTGCTGCTGCCGCCGCTATTTCTGTTGCTCCCGGGGAACCTCATTCTAATGACCTCCTGTCGTCCTTCCCACTCCATCTTCTTGGGGAAACATATCATGAATCTGAGACTGTTCACTTGGCTCTTAATGGGACCAAATCTGGAATCCCTTTTTAGGACTATTGTCTCCATTTCTGTGCAAAATATACCCTGTAAATATGTATCAGAGGCTCAGAACAGCTTATTTCATTTGTGTATGTGATAGCTGTTTGCTTCCCTATAAAAGATTCAGAGTATTTGGCACACAGAAGCTCACAGAATACATACTGAAGCAGGCACAGGAGATGGTGTGAAGCAAAGTGTCTACTTTCTCAGTGATTCCTCTGCATCTTTTCCACATCACTTGATAAAATTGCATCTGATTGGATTGGCTATGTCTGATTACAGGGATTATTGTCATTCAAGGATATATCTATGGAGTTTACCTGGGAAGAATGGCAGCTGCTGGATTCTACACAGAAGTACCTTTACAGGGATGTGATCCTGGAAAACTATAGCAACCTGGTATCAGTGGGTAAGCACAGCTTCTCTGTTTAACTCAGATTGTGACTTGTAAATTGTTTACCCTTTTTCTTTTCTTAAAGATTTATTTACTTAAGAGGCAGAATTACAGACAGACAGAGGGAGAGACAGAAAGTTCTTCCACCCCCTGGTTCACTCCCCAAAAGGCCACAATGCCTGGAGCTGGCCAATCCGAAACCAGGAGCCAGAAGCTTCTTCCAGATCTCCCGTGTGGATGCAGGGGCCCACCTGAGCCATCTTCTGCTTTTCCAGGCCATCAGCAGGGATCTGGATCAGAAGTAGAGCAGCTGGGTCTGGAACTGGTGTGCAGAGGGATGCTGGCACCGCAGGCAAATGCTTAACCTGCTATGCCACAGTGCCAGCCCTGCCATCCCTTTTCTTTTGTTCATTGATTGAGGGACCTCCAAAGTGCTGATGCTTATGAACTGGAACTTTAGCGGTCAGATGTTCTTAGTCCTTGTTTGCCTCTCACCTGTTAGTAGTTGTTGTTTTTCTTACCTCCTAATTGTAATCTTTCCCCAACTGCTGTGTAAAAATAAGCAGTTTCATTTTTTAAAAAAGATGTATTTACTTGTTTCAAAAGGCAGAGCAATAGAGAAGGAGTGACAGAAAGAGAGGTTGGGGGAGAGACCGAAATCTTCCATCTGTTAGTTCACCCTCTAAATGGCTGTAACAGCTGGAACTGATGCAGGCCAAATCCAGGAGTCTAGAACTCCATCCTGGTCACTCACATGAGTGGTCAGGACCCAAGTATTTGAGCCATTTTCCACTACTTTCCTAGGTGTGCTACCAGGGAGCTGGATCAGAAGCAGAGAAGCCAGGACTGACACAGGGTGCTGGCTTCTCAGTCAGCAGTTTAACTCATAGTACAACAATACCAGCCCAAACCGTTTGATTTTGTAGCTCCTGATCCCTGGCAGTTTGGTCTATATCCTTTTTGATTTTCCTTTAACAGGGTACCATGGTACCAAGCCTGATTTAATTTTCAAGTTGGAGCAAGGAGAAGAGCCATGGATAATTGCCAAAATTTCCAGTCAGAGCTGTCCAGGTGAGTTGATGAGAATCAGGAAGATGGGAGATGTAGAAGTGACCTGGTTGTTCCCAGAGGAAGTCACACTGGTGCAGCGTTACGCACAGAAACTCTTAGGAGACCATGGGCTCTTCACATAAGGACTCGCCAGCATTCTTCACATATTGGGGTTTTCCTTCCTTTGGCTTTGAGAGGTAGGCGGTGCCACTTTTTGTGCTCAATATGTGTGCTCTGGGTTAGCTTCTTTCTTGCCCAAGGTCAAGCACATTATTAGGCATTAAAACATGCAGAGAATTTATTTTTCTTCTCCTTCTTTTTTTTTTTTTTTTTTTTTTTTTGACAGGCAGAGTGGACAGTGAGAGAGAGAGACAGAGAGAAAGGTCTTCCTTTTTCCGTTGGTTCACTCCACAATGGCTGCTGAGGCCGGTGCACTGCGCTAATCTGAAGCCAGGAGCCAGGCACCTCTCCTGGTCTCCCACGCGGGTGCAGGGCCCAAGCACTTGGGCCATCCTCCACTGCACTTCCGGGCCACAGCAGAGAGCTGGACTGGAAGAGGGGCAACCAGGACAGGATTCAGCACCCCAACCAAGACTAGAACCCGGTGTGCTGGCTCCGCAGACGGAGGATTAGCCTATTGAGCCGCGGCGCTGGCCCTATTTTTCTTCTCATTGGGAATGAGTCATACCCCTCAATATCTTTTGTTTTGTTTTGTTTTCTCTTTTGCCTTCCACAGTTAAATCCCTTAGATTGTATCATAGTCTTAAGTTTGGTCTCACCTCTATAACTAACCATCTTTACACACCTTTTTCTTTCTGAGTTGTCTGAAGGGATTGGTTTGCCAAATTCTGCTGTCATCTCCTTTGCTATAACTAATTTAAGACTTTCCCATTCTTAAGATTGAAGCTTTGGCCGGCGCCGCGGCTCAATAGGCTAATCCTCCATCTGCAGCGCGGGGGGCGCCGGATTCTGTCCCGGTTGCTCCTCTTCCAGTCCAGCTCTCGCTGTGGCCCGGGAGTGCAGTGGAGGATGGCCCAAGTGCTTGGGCCCTGCACCCGCATGGGAGACCAGGAGAGGTGCCTGGCTCCTGGCTTCAGATCAGCGCAGTGCACCGGCCTCAGCAGCCATTGTGGAGTGAACCAACGGAAAAAGGAAGACCTTTCTCTCTGTCTCTCTCTCTCACTGTCCACTCTACCTGTCAAAAAAAAAAAAAAAAAAAAAAAACAACAACAACAACAACAAAAAAGACTGACGCTTTCACCACCTACAATGCTGACATCCTCCTTCTCTCTTTCTTCTGCAAGTTGAGTCCTCAGGAGAGCTCCCCGTGCTTTCCTACACTTCGTTGAATGTAGTAGGGACTTCTTTCTAAAATTATGACGTTTCTCTGTTTTTATTGTTGGTGCACTTGTAGTCTGTGTGCTGGATTCTGTGGTCACACTATGTCATATCCTATCTTCTTTGTTGATCTTGCAGCTGCTTCTATTTCTGTCAGTAAAAGTATTTTATCCTCTGAAAAGTATAACCCTTATCTCTTTAATTGTCACCCAGACTAGGTCAGTATTGTCTCAAACCTGCATATATCAATTTCATAACCATCTCTGAGAGCTCTCATCTCCTCCTTAGCTGTTGTTTCTTTCCATAGTGTTCTATCAGCAGCTTGAGAAAATTAACAAAAATTTTGTACAAAATAAACCCAACAAGTGTTTCTTAATCTGTGATTCTATCAGAATAAAACAATAAGGAATTTAAAATTTCAAGTGGAAAGTTATATGCCATAGGGCAACTTCACCATGATGTCAGGAGCCAAGCTTCCATCTGTCTCTCTTTTGCCCCTGTGAATTATTATACTTTCCCTATCAACCCATTTCTTCATAATGAATAAGGCTCCTCACTGCCACATGTCACACGCAGATACCACAGAAACCACCGACTCAAATTTATTTCTGAAACAACAACAACAACAACAACAACAAAAACCATTTGATGGGTGCTTAGAGTCTTTCCCAGAAGCCTACCAGCATGTTTTCATAAAATCACATGCCCGCGTCTAGTCCAGATATAGTGGGGAATGGGAGGGCTCCAGGACTTGTGCTCTATCCTCACTGACCATTACATATGAACAAGAAAAGGGTGGGTAGCCTCTCTGAGTTAGGAGGGGACATGGCCTTTGAGTAGGCGGAGTTCATTATAGTCCCATCTTTGTGCCCTCTGTTCAACTGAACATCTTCAAAAATTCTCATGTTAACATTCTCATGTTAGCTTCTTCCAGGTCTTCTCACGTAGGTGCAGGGGCCTAAGGACCTGGGCCATCTTCTACTGCTTTCCCAGGCCATAGCAGAGAGCTGGATCGGAAGTGAAGCAGCCAGGACTTGTACCAGCACCCATATGGGAAGTCGGCACTGCCAGCAGTGGCTTTACCCGCTATGCCGCAGCACTGGTCCCTAGACTTACACTTTATGATTGCGCCAGCTAAGCTCATATGTGTCATCTTCCCTCTGAGAGGAAGGGCAAAATTTAGGTGCAACACTCAGGACGGCGTTACTGTGGTTTGCTGTTTCTCAGACTGTCCCTGATGAGTGCTCTGGAGATCTTGACCTTCTGATGTTTTCCTTTAAACGTTTGTCTGATCATTACTTTCATTGTGATAGCACTGTTTCGGCCTAATAGAGGGACCTTCACATTCTCTAACTCATGCCCAGCCTTAAACGTCGCCGCCTCTAGCTCTGGCTCTGTGTCTTGTTTTGTTTGCGTTGTTCACTGGATGGTCTCATCCATTGTGTTATTTAATGCCTTTCATTGAGCACAGAACTTACATCTGACTGCCTAGGTGCTGTCTTCATTTGGGTGATGTTTAACTGCAATCCCAGATGTAATAACTACTAAAATAAAGTCCTTTAGTTCTATACAAATATGTTTCTTGTTAGGTGACACCAGCTTGTTATTGAAGGTGTTCGTTTCTCCCTTTCAGCTCCCACATCCAGTCTCATTACATTTTCTTAGTAGTCTCTTCTGATTTGCTCACATTTCCTCAACGCCAGGGGGCATAGTCCAAACCATTGTCATTTCATCCTGGTCTGATGTGACTCTCTTCCCCTTTCTTACTCATTTTTTGCCAAATAAGCAAACTGATCTTCTTCTTCTTCTTTTTTTTTACACCAGCTCTTGAAGAATTAATTTTCATAGCTCATTCTTTCTGATTTATTTATTTCATATTAATTAACTTAGGCAGAAACAGAAAAAGGTCTGCCAAACATTGGTTCGCTTCCCACAACAGCCATGGCTAGGTCAAATAAAAATCAAATCAGAAGTTGGAATTTCAATCCAGGTCTCTGTGGGTGGCAACACAACCAGTTGAGTTATCACATACTGCCTCCCAGAGGTACGCATTAGCCTGGACTTGAACCTAGGCACTTTGGTGCAGCATGTGGGTATCCCAAGCAGAATATTAACTGCTAGGCCAAACGCCCACCTTCATTCTCATCATTAATGTCTCATTCTCACCCAAACCTAAATGTCATACTCTGGTTATTCTGTATCTTGTAATTTCATGTTTTAGTTAAAAGAAAAATCTTGGGGGTAGCATTGTAATTCAGCAGGTTAAGCTGCCTCCTGCAACACCAGCATCCCATATGGATGCCAGCTTGAGTCCTGACTGCTGTACTTCCCTCCAGCTCCCTACTAACACACCTGGGAAAGCAACAGAAGATGGCCCAGGTACTTGGGCCCCTGTCACCCATGTGGGAGACCCAGATTGAGTTCTAGGCTCCTGGCTTTGACCTGGCCTAGCCCTGCCCATTGCATCCATTTGGGGAGTGAACCAGTGGATGGACAATCTTTGTCTGTCTGCCTGTAACTCTTGCCTTTCAAAAAAAATAAAAAGAAAACTTAATGAGATAGATGCTCTTTATTTCTGCCCATCCAAGTTCACAAGCTACAAAAAAAAAAAAAAAAAAAAAAAAAAAAAAAGGAAAAAAATCTTGTAATAATAAAAGACAGGTACAAAATAATTGGAAAGTGGCTCCTAAGTGCAGGCTGAAATTTTTTTTAAAGATTTTAATTTATTTATTTGAAAAGCAGAGTTTACGGGGGTGGGGTGGGGTGGGGCGGAGATTGAGAAACAGAGATCTTTCATCTGCTGGTTCTCTACCCCGATGTCCTCAGTGGGCTGACCTCGTCCAGTCTGAAGTCAGGAGTCAGGTGCTTCTTTCAGATCTCCCATGTGGGTTGCAGGTGCCCAGAGACTTGGGTCATCTACTGCTGCTTTCCTAAGTGCATTAGTAGAGATCTGGATTGGAAGTGGAGCAGCTGGGACTCAAACTGGTGCCCATATAGGATGCTGGTGTCACAGGCGGTGGCTTTACTGGCTACACCATGATACTGGCCCCTAAATTTAAAAAAAAAAAATTTTTTTTTTATTTGAAAGGCAGAGTTACAGAGAGGAAAAGACAATGTCTTCTATTTGCTTGTTCACTCCCAGATGGCCATGGCCACAGCAGCCAGGGCTGGGCCAGTCTGAAATCAGGAGTTAGGAGCTTCATCCAGGTCTCCTGTCTGAGTGGCAGTGACCCAAACACTTGGGCCACCTTTTGCTGCTTTTCCTAGGTCATTAGCAGGGAGCTGAATCAGAAGTGGAGCAACCGGGACACAAAGCAGTGCCCATATGGATGTCAGGGTTGCAGTTAGTGGCCTTACAAACTTATACCATAATGGTGGCCCCTAAAAAGCTTTTCTTTTTTTTTTTAAGGTTTATTTATTTACCTGAAAGGCAGTGTAACAAAGAGAGATAAAAGACACAGAGAGATTTCTCCATCTCTTCCCCAAATGGCCACAACTAGCAGGTCTGGTCTTTCTCTGCCTTCCCAGATGCAATAGCAAGGAGCGGGATCTGAAGCAGAGCAGCAGCACTCTGATACAGGATGCCAGCGTTGCAAAGGACAGCTTAACCTGTTGTGCCACAACACTGGCCTCAAAAGCAATTTTGATTTCTGCTGATTCACTACCAGTTTCCATGAGGGGACCTTTTCAATTCAGGCTCTCTTACTCCCTGCTCGATCAGTAATATTTCTTTTGAATCAGTGATATCAACCTATTACCAAAAGAAAAAGAATCATCACATGGCAAGCAGTTCTAAAGCTCTTTAATTCTGTATCAGAATGTTTAAAGTGTGTTTTGTTTTGTTTCTAGAAGGCTGGGAAGAATGGTACCAGAAAAATCAAGATGAGCTTGAAAGTGTTGAGAGGAGCTTTGCTTGTAATGTGTTTGGAAAACTTCATCTGAGCAAAACCTGTGTCTTTTCAAAACAAAGGCTCCATAAGTATAGCACACATGGGAAAAGCCTGACACAAAACTCAGATTCAAGCATAAGTTATGTAAGAAAGAATCTTGATAAGTGTCATGGTTATGAGGAATCATACTTCCTAAGGCATAAAAGAGGTCATGGCATAGAAAAAAACTGTGTGTGCAGTGAATGTGGGAAAGCTTTCCGTTGCAAATCACAGCTCATTGTACATCTCAGAATCCACACGGGAGAGAGACCTTACGAATGCACTAAATGTGAGAGAGCCTTCAGTGCCAAGTCAAACCTTAATGCTCATCAGCGAGTTCATACAGGAGAAAAACCCTATTCATGTGGTGAGTGTGGGAAAGTCTTCTCTTTCAGGTCACAGCTCATTGTGCATCAGGAAGTTCACACAGGAGGGAAACCTTTTGGTTGCAGTGAGTGCGGGAAAGCATACAGTTGGAAGTCACAGCTTACCTTACACCAGAGAAGTCACACAGGAGTAAAACCCTATGAATGCAGTGAGTGTGGGAAAGCCTTCAGTTTGAAATCCCCCTTCGTTGTACACCAGAGGACTCACACTGGAGTGAAACCCCATAAGTGCGATGAATGTGGGAAAGCCTTTAGGAGTAAGTCGTACCTCCTTGTCCACATCAGAATGCACACAGGAGAGAAACCTTATCAATGCAGTGAGTGTGGGAAAGCCTTCAACATGAAGACGCAGCTCATTGTACATCAGGGCGTTCACACGGGAAATAATCCGTACCAGTGCACTGAATGTGGCAAAGCCTTTGGTAGGAAGGAACAACTCAGTGCACACCTGAGAGCTCATGCAGGAGAGAAGCCCTATGGATGTGGTGAGTGTGGGAAGGCCTTCAGTAGCAAGTCCTACCTTGTTATACACAGACGGACACACACGGGAGAGAGACCCTATGAATGTAATTTGTGTGAAAGAGCCTTTTGTGGAAAATCACAGCTGATTATCCATCAGCGAACTCATTCAACAGAGAAGCCTTATGAATGCAATGAATGTGAAAAAGCCTATCCTCGGAAGGCCTCACTTCAGATACACCAGAAAACGCATTCCGGAGAGAAACCGTTTAAGTGCACCGAGTGTGGGAAAGCGTTTACTCAGAAGTCGTCTCTTAGTGAACATCAGAGGGTTCACACGGGAGAGAAACCATGGAAGTGCTCTGAGTGTGGGAAAGCTTTTTGTTGGAATTCAGGACTTCGCATACATCGGAAAACTCACAAGTGAAAAATCAGAATGAGGTGACTATTAGAAGCTTTCACACGGAAGCTGATACTCAGGAGATTCCAGACAACAGTAGGATGTATAAACATACACTGATCACACGTAAACCTTGTAAGACGAATAATACTCGGAGTGAGTTTGCAAAAGCTTTCAGAAACAAGTCATACAAATCTTTTAGACAATATTTGAAGGAATGAGGAATGATAAATATACCAAATGCAGTAGTATCATGAAGATTTGGAGAATTCGCACTTAGAACACCTTATAAATTTAGTAAATCAGAAAAGCATTTCCTCATAGCAGGTGTGTTACATGGAAAGTCACATTCCAGATTTGAAGCTGTTTTTATAAGTTAGTGATTAAAAATAGACTTTCATGAGAAAGTGTAAGATTGTTTTTGTTTTATAATGTAAAATAATTGTCAAGAAAGGCATAAGAGTATACAAGAGCTTTCAAAAAGTACATGGAAACTACATCTTTAATTATCTTTTCCATGAACTTTTTAAAGCCCTCATATTTTGAAAGTTAAAGGATATTTAGACTTTCCTGAGTTAACACTGAATATTATTTTTTTAAATGTTGGTATTTTATTCTTAAATGTAATTTATTACTATATATTTGGTGGTTTGTGTCATAACATCTCCCAGTATTCTTCATATTAAATACTAAGTATCAGCATTATCTTTCTTAGCAATATACTAAAATAATGTGACTTAAAATACCTGAAAGATTCAGGTCCCCAAGGCAGTGAGCTTTTTCAGTGGTCTGTCTCTAAGCAGGACTGGCAGTTATTACAGGGTTGCTTCTTAAGGGAACTCATCACAATGAACATTTATTGTATTTTAGCAGTTTGCTATCCGTTGCTATGAGCCCCTCTGTTTTTGCTAGAGAAATACCACCTCTGTCCTGTGCTTCTTGGCAGTAGTGCCTTCAGGTATCCTTCCCACTAGCCCGTCATCAGATAATGGTAATCTCTGCCGAGATGTGCAGTCTGACGTGATCAGAAGGGACATGTGGGAATTTATTTGTTCCTGTTCCAGAGTCCAATTAAGACCTTCAGTTAGTTCTGCCGAATTGATTCCCAGGATAACTGTGGATGCTATTCCATTTTGAACCTGGTTCTCTGGGCTGTGTGCTTCCTTCTATTTTCTCAATAAAAGTATGTTTTTATTTTTTGCTTAATTGAGGAATGAGTTTTATTTCTTCTTCTTCTTCTTTTTTTTTTTTTTTTTTTGACAGGCAGAGTGGACAGAGAGAGACAGAGAGAAAGGTCTTCCTTTACCATTGGTTCACCCCCCCAATGGCCGCTGCGGCTGGCGCGCTACGGCTGGCACACCACGCTGATCCAAAGCCAGGAGCCAGGTGCTTCTCCTGGTCTCCCATGGGGTGCAGGGCCCAAGTACTTGGGCCATCCTCCACTGCACTCCCTGGTCACAGCAGAGAGCTGGACTGGAAGAGGAGCAACCAGGACAGAATCCGGCGCCCCGACCGGGACTAGAACCCGGTGTGCCGGCGCTGCAGGCGGCGGATTAGCCTGTTGAGCTACGGCGGCGCCAGCCGAGTTTTATTTCTTAACAACTATGGTTGACAAATTGTTAGGCTGGAGTTGTACAGAGGCAATCCACTATTAGAGAAAAGTGGCATGTGTGCATTAGGATTTTTCTTGAAACAAAAAGAAAATCAAATTCTTGTTTATGTTCCATGACAGGAGCATTTTAGCCAGTCAAATTAAGTCATATAGGCCGGTGCTGTATTGGTGCAGCGTGCCTGCCATAGCAGCCACTTGTGGGGTGAACCAACGGAAAAAGGAAGACCTTTCTCTCTCTCTCTCTCACTGTCTAACTCTGCCTGTCAAAAAAAGGAAAAAAAATTAAGTCATATCATTGCTTGTGTTTACCCACAACTTTGTGGCCCTTCATAGAATTTTGGGGATACTGAGGAACTGTTTCAAAAGAATTTTAAATTTTTGCAGAAATCTGAGACAGGAAGTGAGATGGTTGCTTAGGTCATACCAGGTCTTAGACCACAGAAAAGACAGGCGTGGAGCCCTGAAATCTTATCTCAAGGCTGAGTATCAGTCTAAAATAAATGCTTGTCATATTGCTAAAATAAATACTTGTCAACTGTAGGATTGAGGTGGTAGAATCAAACAGTGTATTTGGCTTGATGAATTAAGAGTCAAGTCATCTCAAATGCTCACCTAAATCCTTGATAATTTGAATAAGAATATCCAAGAGGAATGTGACTATTCAATCTAGCAGCCTTTTGGTATAGTTAGAACTGTGTATTTTTTTTTTTTTTAAGATTTATTTATTTATTTGAAAGAGTTACACAGAGAGAGGAGAGGCAGAGAGAGAGAGAGAGGTCTTCCATCTGCTGGTTCACTCCCCAACTGGCTGCAAAGGCTGGAGCTGCACCAATCAGGAGCAAGGAGCTTTCTCTAGGTCTTCTCACAGGGTGCAGGGGCCCAAAGACTTGGGCCATCTTCCACTGCTTTCCCAGGCCATAGCAGAGAGCTGGATCGGAAGTGGAGCAGTTGGGATTTGAAACGGTGCCCATATGGGATGCTGGCACTGTAGGTGGTGGCTTTACCCACTACGCCACAGCACCAGCCCAAGAACTGTGTATTCTTCATCTGTAGACTAGATACTGACAATATATGAAATTCAGATTTCAGTGTTCATAGATCCAGTTCTGTTGAACTATAGCCAAATGTATGTGGATATTGTCTGACTGCTTTTGTGTTCAGCAGAGTTGCTAGTAGCACACTTGGTCTGCCTATGAAACCTGCCAGCTCCTGGTGAAGAGCCCGTTCCTTTCCCTGAGAAAAGTGGACTGTGTCTTGCATGACGGAGCTCATTCTGCCAGGATTGCATCCATCTTTATTACCACCTTGGTAACCAAACTTACACTAAAATGTCCAGAGATGGGATAGCTGAGTTAGGATAGAATATGGAAATCAGAGCATTGCAGGGATTACTAGTGATGTTTGAAAGCTTCTGAGAAATATTTGTGAAAATGTTACTTATTTATACAGTGTGTTCCTGGTGTGTGAACAATATGAACAATTAGAGGTCATTATACTTTTTGTTTTGTTTTGTTTTGTTTTGACAGGCAGAGTGGACAGTGACAGTGAGACAGAGAGAAAGGTCTTCCTTTGCCGTTGGTTCACCCTCCAATGGCCACCGCGGCCGGCGTGCTGCGGCCGGCACACTGCGCTGATCCGATGGCAGGAGCCAGGTGCTTCTCCTGGTCTCCCATGGGGTGCAGGGCCCAAGTACTTGGGCCATCCTCCATTGCACTCCCGGGCATAGCAGAGAGCTGGCCTGAAGAGGGCAACGGGACAGAATCCGGCGCCCCGACCGGGACTAGAACCCGGTGTGCCGGCGCCGCAAGGGGGAGGATTAGCCTAGTGAGCCGCGGCGCTGGCCTTTTTTTTTTTTTTTTTTTTTTTTAAGATTTACTTATTTATTTGAAAGTTAGAGTTACATAGAGAAGGAGACAGAGAGAGGTCTTCCATCCACTGATTTACTTCCCAATTCACTGCAACGGCCAGAACCGCGCCTATCTGAAACCAGGAGCCAGGAGCCAGGAGCTTCCTCCAGGTCTTGCCATGCGGGTTCAGGGGCCCAAGGACTTGGGCCATCTTCTACTGCTTTCCCAGACCATAGCAGAGAGCTTGATCACAAGTGGAGCACCCAGGACTTGAACCAGCACCCATATGGGATGTTGGCACTGCAGGTGGCGGCCCCCATTATACTTTTAAAAGTTAGTTGCACTGGCTAATACAAAGACCAGGTCCAACACTGGCCCATGGCTTTGGAAGAACAAGTCAGAATCTTTGCTTTTGCTTTTCTCTATATATTGCTTGTTACTGTCTTAAAGACATCTTAAGGTTTATTGTGGAAAATATAGAGCATACCTAATTTTTGAAATCAATATAGCTGTACTAAGAGCATCAAACTGAAAGGAAAAGTAAAAGAACAGTTAAATTTGTTCCAAGATTAGAATTTAAGATATTTTATAGTTGAATTGCTATCTTCCAATTTTACATGCTTAGGCAGATTTTTCAACAGCAACAATGAAAATCAGAAGATATTAAAAAAAAAGCTAACACTTAAGTATGTTGAAGGAAAATACCTAAAAATAAAGAGTTACTCATAGATTAGGGTGATGTAACTTTGAATACTAACAAAGCAAAATATTTAAAAAGTTTGAAACACAAGCCAAAATAAAAAAAGCATTTTTGGACAAATCTAAACGGAAAAACTAATGAGAATGGTACCTTGTAATTTGAGAGTATAGAATAATGAGCTTAAACCTCAGGAAACAATAGCATTTAATTTTGGAAGAAGACAATTATTTGTAGAAGAGCAGAGATACTACATGACAATGTATTAGACTGGGAGACCCAGTTTACCACAAATAAGGTGCAGGAGTGGTTCCATGACCAAAGAAGGTACTGGTCCCACACACTCCACCACCTGGAAGCTGCTGGTGTGAGTAGAGCATTGCATGGCTTGCTGAAGGTGGAGCTTGTAAACAGAGGACACCAATCTTTAGGATGCCGTCCTGGAATCAGAGACCTTTGTAAGTTACTGGTTTCCTCAGTCATAAAACAAAACAAAACAAAACAAAAACCAACAACACATGGTTCCAGGAACAAAGGAATTGGAGTAAGAAGAGCCTTACTTAACATCACTTCCAATGAAGCAGTTGGAGATACTGTCTTTGAACTCTGAGCTTTGTAGGGTTAGTGATCCCAGTTTTTAAAGGTTACATACTTTGGCAAGATTCCCATGGAAGTATAGCTGCCTAGGTACTTTGAGGACCAGCAGACGAGGGGATGTAGGGGTAAGTGGCTCTGATCATAAAAGTCTGCTATGCACCGAGGTCATGGAGAAATATATATATATTTTTTTTTGACAAAAGTGGAGAGTAGAGAGAGAGAGAGAAAGGAGAGAGAGAGAGAAAGGTCTTCCCTTTTGCCGTTGGTTCACCCTCCAATGGCCGCCACGACTGGCGCACTACGGCCGGCGAACCACGCTGATCCGAAGGCAGGAGCCAGGTGCTTCTGGTCTCCCATGGGGTGCAGGGCCCAAGCACTTGGGCCATCCTCCACTGCCTTCCCAGGCCACAGCAGAGGGCTGGCCTGGAAGAGGGGCTAGAACCCGGTGTGCCGGCGCCGCTAGGTGGAGGATTAGCCTATTGAGCCATGGCGCTGGCCGGAGAAATATTCTTAAGTGGTCTGCCTGGGTGCTTTTTATACCCCTGGCCTCAGAAGGAACTGAAGGATGAGAGATCCATTCGTGTGATTAGATCAGGCACTGAGGCTAGAGAGAGGGTGGCTGAAAGTGAGGGGAGTCGAGTGAAGAGCAGAGGAGGGACTGGAGTATATGCTGTGGTCTCAAGGAGCAGCAGGGGCAATACGTCACTACTACCCTCCCAGGGAGAGGGGCCCTGTGAAGTCCTAAAGGAGCTGTTCAAACTTGCGTCAGGCTGTGAGGAAAAGATGGACCCAAGTGGTCACAAAGGAACCTGCTTTAATGCAGGATGTTGCTCCAAGCCTCTGTGGGTGTGGTGGACTCCAGCTGGCAGTTTGTAAAAACTCATATTCTTATAGGGCTTTCCTCTGTTGCAGAGAACCACCTGCTCCTCTTGGGGTACCCTACAACCAGTGACTAATCGCAGCACCTGTATAATGGCTCCGTCACTTTTGCCCACTACACAACTCAATGGGGCATATATATTGCAGAGACCCTTTGTTGGGCTTGGTGGAGTGAGAATTATCTGAGTATACTTTTTGTGTGCTTAAATATAATATAGTGACTATCCCCTCCCTCCCTCCCTTCCTCCCTCTTTATATTCACCTCCCTGAAAGGCAGAGCAACAGCGAAATCTTTGATCCACTGGATCACTCCTCAAATGGCTCCCAGCAGTCAGGGCTGAGCCAGGCTGAAGCTGGCGCCTGGAGTTGAATCTGTCTCTTGTGGGTGGCAAGGGCCCAAGCCCTGGCGTCATCATCTCGTGCCTCCCAGTATGCTTAGCAGGAGGCTGTATCCGAGACAGAGTCAGAGACCTGATGGAACTCTGAGGATGTAGGTATTCCAGGTGGGGGCTTAACCTGTTGCATCACAACACCCAATCCAAGCCTTACTCTTAGGATGAGAACTATATGCAATTATTGAAGTCAGCTTAGATTTTCCAGTGAGCTGGGTAGGCAGTTCTATTGTCTGTAATTATGATGAAGATGGAAGCCAGGTTTCTCACAGTCTGAAAGAAGCTGCAGGAACAAACCCTGTGGTGTTGCACTGGGACTGGAAGTGTCAGCATGAACTCATGATTTTGTGTTTCTAAAGGTACATACACAGACATTTTCTAGCACCAAGAAGCAATTACATCTAGTAAAAGCTATGCAGCCCATAGCCCATTCACATTCTCTGCCAAGTCAAACTTGAGATCCTTGGGACAGCTGCCGATTCCAGGACTAGGGCTAGGAAAATACAAGGTGAAGTGCTCAGAAAATAATTAAATAGGGCTGGTGCTGTGGCACAGTGAGAGTCCCAGTCTGCAGTGCTGGCATCCCACATGGGCGCTGGCTGCTCCACTTCCTGTCCAGCTGCCTGCTAATGCGCTTGGGGAAGTAGCAGCAGATGGCCCAAGTGCTTAGGCCCTGCACCCACGCGGGAGATCTGGAAGAAGCTCCTGGCTCCTGGATTCCGCTTCGGCCTGGCCCAGCCCTGGTCCTTCAGCCATTTGGAGAGAGAACCAGCCGAGGGAAGACCTTTCTTTTTAAAGATTTACGTATTTGAGGGCCGGCGCCGTGGCTCAATAGGCTAATCCTCCCCCTTGCGGCGCCGGCACACCGGGTTCTAGTCCCGGTCGGGGCGCCGGATTCTGTCCCGGTTGCCCCTCTTCCAGGCCAGCTCTCTGCTGTGGCCAGGGAGTGCAGTGGAGGATGGCCCAGGTGCTTGGGCCCTGCACCCCATGGGAGACCAGGAAAAGCACCTGGATCCTGGCTCCTGCCAACGGATCAGCGCGGTGCGCCGGCTGCAGCGGCGGCCATTGGAGGGTGAACCAACGGCAAAGGAAGACCTTTCTCTCTCTGTCTCTCTCTCACTGTCCACTCTGCCTGTCAAAAATAAAAAAAAAAAAGATTTACGTATTTGAAAGGCAGAATTACAGAAGAGGCAGGGCTCTGAAGGCCGAGTCCTGCATGCCGGCATCTGGGTAGTGAACCAACAGGCAGAAGCGCTCTCTCTGTCTCTTAAGCAACTAAATAAAAACGTAAACATTCTGATGGACCTTTTCCCCTAGTCTTTCACAGCTTTCTTCCATCTCTTCACAGCGCTCAATCTGGATTCTCAGGTTCACAGCGCTCGGCACGCACGTACCGCGGGGTATTCTGGGAAGTGTAGTTCAAAGGCGGGACTTTCCTCCTGCGCCGGCGCACTTCTCCCTCTTTGGACGCGCTTTCTTCTGCCTTGCCGCTTTGTGAGGGCTGTGTGCGCACGCGCACTTCCGCTGACGCCCCGCCCCACTCCGCTCGGGGGACCGCACAAAAGCTCGCAATAGCGTGGGGCGTGGTGGGGCGGTGCCTGTCCGGGAGACCGCGCGGGTCACGTGGCTGCAGGTTGGGGGTCGGCGATGGTGGGGTAGCGGCTGACTCTTCCGGGAACGCCGTGACGGTTGACGGCGGGTGCTTCTCGCCGCAGCCGGTGCGGGGAGATCTTCAGGGGTCGTGAGGGTGGAATCCGTAGAAGGAAGCGTTTCAGGCTGCGAGGCCTTGGGTGCCGGGGTCCAGCCCACTGACAGTCCTGCGTTGCCCGCAGTGGGGTGCAGTGGGCACCCGAAGCCTTGGTTAGCAGCTCCCCGGTGAGTTGGGGAGCCCGGGCCGGACGCGGTGGTGCCGCACGTTTGGGGAGCCGGGGCCGGACGCGGTGGTGCCGCGCGTGGGGGAGCCCGGGCCGGACGCCGTGGTGCCGCGCGTTTGGGGAGCCCGGGCCGGACGCCGTGGTGCCGCGGGCGTGGGGAGCCCGGGCCGGACGCGGTGGTGCCGCACGTTTGGGGAGCCGGGGCCGGACGCGGTGGTGCCGCGCGTGGGGGAGCCCGGGCCGGACGCCGTGGTGCCGCGCGCGTGGCGGGCAGGGGCGAGGGCGCGGGACCGACTGGTTCTCGTGTCTTGGGAGGCGTTGGGCCGTGTTGGGGCGGCGACTCGTCAGAGTCCGAGACGCGGAAGTGGGTTCGGGGTCGGCTCGCTGCGTCGTCCTTGGCTGGTTTTGGAGCGTGACGGAGCCCCCTCGTGGGTCCGGCCGTGACTCTGCGTGGGGAGAGCAGGTGCGGCGGCCCGCTGCTGCGACCCCGCCGCGGCCCCTGCCCGGCCCAGCTGCGAGAGGGCGTGTCTGCTTGAGTGACCGCACGCACACCCGATGCTGACCGGCGTGGGGTAGGGAACCTTGGCTTTTGGTCATCTCTGCTCTGCGTGTTACAGTCCACTCGGTTTCTGGTTTTTCATCTGAAAATGGAGTGATAAAGTCTCCCCCTTACTTCTCACGCGTTTGAGTCCCTGTGGTGTTGGCCTGAAACCCGAACCAGGTCCACCAGAATGTTTCTGTTTAGTTACTTGAGAGACACAGACAGGTTCCGCCTGTTGGTTCAGTACCCAAATAGGCTTCGCTTGCCTATTTACTTGGATTAAGGATTTTTAGTATTAAATAATATGTGTACTTTTTCCTGTTACGAGAAAATGTAAAGTATGTACTCAATTCGGAAAAATGTTAAAGTAAAACTCGTGATCTCGTTAGCAGCAGTTTCTACTACCATTTGGGAGCATTTCCTTCAGTGGGTGTATGTATCTTTTTAATATACTTTACCTTTTTGTTTCCTTTAAAAAAGCAATTTGGGAATTTTGCATGTGCAGTTTAAGACCATTACACTCTATTAATATTTTTTAAATATTTATTTAAAAGGTAAAGTTACAGAGAGGACTTCCATCTGCTGGTTCACTTCCCAAACAGCCGCAGTGGCCAGAGCTGGGCAAGGCCAAAGCCAGGACCTGGAGCTTCTTCCAAGTCTCCTACAGGGCTGCAGGGACCCAAGGACTTGGGCCATCTGCTGCTGCTCTCCCAGACCGTAGGAAAGAGCTGAATTGGAAGTGAAGCAGCCAGGACTGGAACCAGCACCCATACGGGATGCCCACACCGCAGGTGGCAGCTTTACCTGCCAAGTCACAGCGCCGGCCCCTATACTCTATCATCATTGATATCTTTCTAACATGAATACATTGTTTTTAAAGATTTATTTATTTATTTGAAAGAGTTACAGAGAGGGAGAGACAGATCTTCCATCTCTGGTTCACTCCCCAGATGGCTGCAATGCTCAGGGCTGGGCTAGGCTGAAGCCAGGAGCCAGGGGCATCTTCCAGGTCTCCCATGTGGGCAAGAGGGGCCTAAGTACTTGGCCCATCTTCAACTGCTTTTCCAAGGCCATTAGTAGGGAGCAGGATTGGAAGCATAGTAGCTGGGGCTTTAATTGGCACCTATATGGGATGCCAGCATTGCAGGTAGCATCTTTACCTGCTACACCAAAATGTCTGCCCCAGCATGAATATTTTATTCAAGTTGAGAGTTCAATTGAGTTTTGTCAACTGATTCTTGATAACTTTACTCTCTCTTTTTTCCTTTTTCCTTTTTTTTTTTTTTTTTTTGAGCAAATAGACACACAAGCAGAGCTCTCATTGATTATTTCATTCTAATGCCGTTGGGACGAGAACCAGGAGCCAGGCACTCGAACCAAATCTTCTACATAGTGATGAGAACCTAACCACTTGAGTTATCACCTGCTTTCTCTAAGGGTCTATCCTGGCAGGAAACTGGAATCTGAAGCCAAAGCTGAGAATCAAATCCAGGCATTCTGGTGTATGGGGTGTAGACGTCTCAACTGCTAGGTCACACGCTTACCTCTTGTGTTTATTCCATATCCTGGTACACTAGAGGCCTGTCTGCACTTCACTTTCCAGTATTAAAGAGGGGTTGTGGACACAGGCGCTGGGGTGGAGTGAGTGCAGGCGTCCAGATGTGACTTCCTGACTCAGTCCGTCTTTGGGCAAGTTGCCGAACCTCTGAACGCTGTATCTCTTTCTCTGTGCTGGATGCTGGTACGTTAAAAAAGACAGTATGGTTTGTAAAATATTTGGAACATAGTAAGTGTAAATAAGTTATGTTTTTATTCTCTACCTTTCCCTGAAATTTCCTTAGAGCTTGGTGATGAGTGGAACTATGGGATGATCATGGTGGTTGTTCCTTCTGAAGATAAATTGAGAGCTTTCCCAAGGAGTGGCATGCAGGAGACTACCAAGGTAAAAAACAAACTGCTCTAGTTCCAAGGGCCAAAAAAATTTTTTAATGATTAATTATTTATTTAAAAGGCACAGTTAAGGCATAGCTAGAGAGAGAGAGGCAGAGGCAAAAGACACATCCACTGGTTCACTCTCCAAATGGCTGCAACAGTTGAAGCTGGGTGGATCCAAAGGCAGGAGCTTGTTCTGAGTCTTTGACGTGGGCACAGGGGCCCAAGCACTTGGCCATCTCCTGCTGCTTTCGCAGGCACATTAGCAGGGAGCTGGATTGCAAGTGAAGCAGATGGGACTTGAACCAGTGCCCACGTAGGATATAGTTGCCTCAGGCAGCAGCTTTAGCTATATGCCACAATGCTGGTCCCCGTGGGCCAAATCTTTTCTTTTCTTTTCTTTTTTTTTTTTTTTTTTTTTTTTTATAAGATTTATTTATTTGAAAGGTGCAGTTACAGAGAGGTAGAGGCTGGGTGGGGGGTGGTTTTCCATTCACTGGTTTACTCCCCAAGTGACTGCAATGGCCGGAGCTGTGCTGATCTGAAGCCAGTAGCCAGGAGCTTCTTCTGGGTCTCCCACATGGTACGGGGCCCAAGCACTAAGGCCACCTAACACGGCTTTTCTGGGTGCAGTTAGCATGGAGTTGGATCAGAAGTGGAGCTCTTGTGACTTGAACTGGTGCTGATATGAGATGCCGGCACTACAGGTGATGGCTTGACCTGCTGCACCACAGCACTGGCCCCACTAAATTCTTAGGCATTTGTAAGTTATGCGTCATTTACCCGTATACTTTTGTGGAGTCAGCTTAAGTGTTCTTTCGTTTATTATGATTTGATAACATGTTATTGCTTTGGGTCTGTTCACATGCTCACACTTTTTATTTTATTTTATTTTATTTTATTTTATTTTATTTTATTTTATTTTATTTTATTTTATTTTATTTTATTTTATTTTATTTATTGACAGGCAGAGTGGACAGTGAGAGAGAGAGAGACAGAGAGAAAGGTCTTCCTTTGCCGTTGGTTCACCCTCCAATGGCCGCCGCGGCCGGCGCGCTGCGGCCGGCGCACCGCGCTGATCCGATGGCAGGAGCCAGGAGCCAGGTGCTTCTCCTGGTCTCCCATGGGGTGCAGGGCCCAAGCACCTGGGCCATCCTCCACTGCACTCCCTGGCCACAGCAGAGAGCTGGCCCGGAAGAGGGGCAACCGGGACAGAATCCGGCGCCCCGACTGGGACTAGAACCCGGTGTGCCGGCGCCGCTAGGCGGAGGATTAGCCTAGTGAGCTGCAGCGCCGGCCTTTTTTTTTTTTTTTAAGATTTTAATTATTTGAGAAGTTACAGACAGAGGGAGAGGTCCTCCATCTGCTAATTCACTCCCCGAATGGCCTCAATGGCCAGGGCTGAGCCAGACCAAACCCAGGAACCAGGAGCTTCTTCCTGGTCTCCCACGTGGGTGCAGGGGCCCAAGGATTTGGGCCATCTTCCGCTGCTTTCCCAGGCATGTTAGCAGGATGCTGGATCGGAAGTGGAACAGCCAGGACTTGAACTGGCACCCATATGGGTTGCCGGCACTACAGGCTTAACCTTTTACACCACAGCGCTGACCCCTAGAATTGCTTATTAAATAGTTTTTGAGATTATGATCAGGGTTAACTAAAATATAGAAATTCTTTAGTGCCAAATTATCTGCAAATGAAGTCTTTCTATTCTAGAACAAGGCTTTTTTTTTTATTTAATAAATGTGAATTTACGGCCGGCGCTGCGGCTTACTAGGCTAATCCTCCGCCTAGCGGCGCCGGCACACCAGGTTCTAGTCCCGGTCGGGGCGCCGGATTCTGTCCCGGTTGCCCCTCTTCCAGGCCAGCCCTCTGCTGTGGCCAGGGAGTGCAGTGGAGGATGGCCCAGGTGCTTGGGCCCTGCACCCCATGGGAGACCAGGAAAAGCACCTGGCTCCTGGCTCCTGCCATCGGATCAGCGCGGTGCGCCGGCCGCGGTGCGCCGGCTGCAGCGCGCCGGCCGCGGCAGCCATTGGAGGGTGAACCAACGGCAAAAGGAAGACCTTTCTCTCTGCCTCTCTCTCACTGTCCACTCTGCCTGTCCAAAAAAAAAAAAAATGTGAATTTACAAAGTGCAGCTTTTGTATTGTTGTGGCTTTCCCCCTCCAACCTCCCTTCCTCCCGCGGCCCTCCCTACTCCCACTCCCTCTCCCATCCCGCCCTTCGAGTTTCATTTTCAATTACCTTCATATACAGAAGATCAACTTAGTATATACTAAGCAAGGACTTCAACAGGCTGCACTCACACAACTGCACAAGGTATAGGGTATTATTCGACTAGTAGTGTTGTCTTTAAGTTTCATAGTAAAACACATTAAGGACAGAGATCCTACGTGGGGAGCATATACCCAGTGACTCCCATTGTTTTAACAATTGGCACTCTATTTATGACGTCAGCAATCACCCGAGGCTCTTGCCATGAGCTCTCTAGGCTATGGAAGCCCCTTGAGTTCACCAACTCTGAACTTGTTTAGTCAAGGCCATATCACAGTGGAGGTTCCTTCCTCCCTCCGGAGAAAGGCGCCTCTCTCCTTGATGGCCTGTTCCTTCTGGGGTACAAGGCTGACATATGCATTTATGTAATTCTATTTTTATTGTCCTTATTGGCTTGTTTGTTTCATATAGGTCTTCCATATTTTTTTTTTTTTTTTTTTGACAGAGTGGACAGTGAGAGAGAGAGACAGACAGAAAGGTCTTCCTTTTGCCGTTGGTTCACCCTCCAATGGCCGCCGCGGCCGGCGTGCTGCGGCCGGCGCACCGTGCTGATCCGATGGCAGGAGCCAGGAGCCAGGTGCTTCTCCTGGTCTCCCATGGGGTGCAGGGCCCAAGCACCTGGGCCATCCTCCACTGCACTCCCTGGCCACAGCAGAGAGCTGGCCTGGAAGAGGGGCAACCGGGACAGAATCCGGCGCCCTGACCGGGACTAGAACCCGGTGTGCCGGCGCCGCTAGGCGGAGGATTAGCCTAGTGAGCCGCGGCGCCGGCCACCATATTTCTTATCAAGTATATTCCTGTGTATATTTTTTCTAAGTATGATTCTATTTTTTTAAGACTTTTTATTTATTTGAGAGGTAGAGTTACAGTCAGTGAGAGGGAGAGACAGAGAGAAAGGTCTTCTGTCTGTTGGTTCAATCCCCAAATGGCCACAGCAGCTAGAGCTGCACCGATCCGAAGCCAGGAGCTTCCTCCGAGTCTCCCACACGGTTGTAGGGGCCCAAAGACCTGGGCCATCTTTCATTGCTTTCCCAGGCCATAATAGAGAGCTGGATGGGAAGAGGAGCAGCCGGGACTTGAACCAGCACCCACCCATATGGGATGCTGCGCTGTAGGCTGAGGAATAACCTACTGCACCACAGCACCGGCCCCTGTTTTCTACTTTTTAATCATTTCGTATAAGAAAACTGCCAGTATTCTACAGATAAGATTATTAACATGGAAAAAGTATTCTTTACATAATAGTTTAAAAACAGTTTTATATGTGACCATATGCTTCTATTTTGTTGAAAAAAATCACAGTAGGATTTACAAAGTACATGTCCCATGCTGTAGTGCCTGGAGTTAATTCCTGTTTTGATTCCAGCTTCCTGCTAATGCAGATCATGGGAGGTGACAGGTGGTAGCTCAAGTAGTTGGTTTCCTGCCACCCGTGTGATACGTATTGAGTTCTGGGATCCTGGCTTTGACTAAGTCCAGCCCTAGCCATTGTGGTTTTTTGTGGGAAGCTCTCTTTCTCCTCTGCAATAGTAATTATAACTATTATTTGTTTAGTGATAACTGAGTGCCAGTTATCTGTATATATTGTCACAATTCAAGGTATAAAGGAATCATTTCTTATATAACTATTAAAAATCTCAGTATGTGTTTCTGAGTTTGCGCTGAAGTCTTAATAACAAAAAAAAAAACCATGAATGATTCATTGGTTAGGTGCTACTTTTTAGTATGATATCGAGTTGAGGCAGTTGTTAATTTGTGTTTCTGTGGGAATAAGTTAATAAAAATTCTGTGCATTAATGTGAACAAATAACATGATTTTGATAGTAAATGCATAGCAAGAAAGAGAAATAACGTTCTGCTGAGTAGCTGTGGGACATGGGAACACGCATTGTTTCACTTGTGGTTTTCTGTCTGTGAAATAGAGATCATGTTAAATTACTTTTTGGGGTTATCTGAGTATGAAATTGTAATATGCTTACTATGATGTCTCTAATGTTAACTTACTGTTCATACCAGGTGCCACATTCCTTCTGATACTTTACTTGTTCCTAAGACTCCTACTTTATCCTTACCATTTTAGCAAATAAAGAAATGGAAGGCCAGAAAGAAGAGGAAAAAGAATCAATCATTAATAAGTATATTTGAGTTCTTCAGTTAAAACAAAGATTTTTGATTTGGTTGTAGAGAAATGTAAGCTCTGGCTGTTTAAAAGATAATGGTGCTGAAATTTTTTTTTTTTTTTAATTTTTTGACAGGCAGAGTGGACAGTGAGAGAGACAGAGAGAAAGGTCTTCCTTTGCCGTTGGTTCACCCTCCAATGGCCGCCGCGGCCGGCGCGCTGCGGCCGGCGCACCGCGCTGATCCGATGGCAAGAGCCAGGAGCCAGGTGCTTTTCCTGGTCTCCCATGGGGTGCAGGGCCCAAGTACTTGGGCCATCCTCCACTGCATTCCCTGGCCACAGCAGAGGGCTGGCCTGGAAGAGGGGCAACCAGGACAGAATCCGGCGCCCCAACCGGGACTAGAACCTGGTGTGCCGGCGCCGCTAGGCGGAGGATTAGCCTAGTGAGCCGCGGCGCCGGCGGTGCTGAAATTTTAAATGTAGATAAGTGGAGGATGGTAGCAGACACAGATTAAGCAAAGAATGTTGACACTGCCAGCTTCATCTAAGGTAAAATAGATTTTTTTAAAAAAGATTTATCTATTTGAAAGGCAGCAATATAGAGAGAAAAGGATTGGGATAGATCTCGAGATTTTCCATCTGCTGGTTCACTCCCCCGATGGCTGCCATGGCAAGAGCTAAGCCAGGCCAAAGCCAGGAGCTAGGAGCTTCATCTGGGTCTCCCACATGAGTAGCAGGGGCCCAAGTACTTCCTCCGTGGCTTTTCCTAGGTCAGTAGCAGGGAGCTAGTTCGGAAGTGGAGCAGCTGGGACACAAACTGGAGCCTACATGGGATGCCAGCACTGCAGGCAGCTGCTGCACTTGCTATGCCACAATGCTAGCCCCTGATGTAGAAGATTTTAATTAGGAAAGTGGTGCTCAGTAGGATGAAGTTTGTTTTTGCCAAAATGGTTGATGGAAGCTCCTACCTGTTTTGACAGGAATCATAGATGTTTTGAAAAATGCCGTCTAGCTAAGATAGTTCTTTTTCTTCACAGCCTTTCAGTGTCCGCAGTGAACTTTGAATGATTCTTTTACGTATTTTATTTGATATTTCTTGTATCTGTTTATGGACTTTCCTGTTCCCTGTTTCTGTCTCTGAGAAGCTTACATAGGAAACATTCTCTGGTCTTAGATGATCGTGAATTCCTATTTCCTAGCAACAGAGGAAGAGATTTAAGGTGCAGTGGGAACATGCGAGATGAAGTGCTTTTGTCCTTGTGTCCACAGATCCTGATTCCCTTCAGATAAGCCTGCTCCTCTGAGATAAGAAAGGAGTTCGTGCAACCAGAAATTTGTTCTTAATGCAGATGACCTAGCCAAGACCTCACTCCAGAGCTTTGGAGCAGAGGCAGAAGAGACAGAAGAGAAGAGAATCATCTCACATCGGCAACATAAAATGACCACTCCACAGGTGAGTTGCTTGTTTATTCCTTGTTAGAAGATTGGAAGAGGGCCGACGCCGCGGCTCACTAGGCTAATCCTCTGCCTTGCGGCGCCAGCACATGGGGTTCTAGTCCTGGTCGGGGCGCCGGATTCTGTCCCGGTTGCCCCTCTTCCAGGCCAGCTCTCTGCTGTGGCCCGGGAGTGCAGTGGAGGATGGCCCAGGTGCTTGGGCCCTGCACCCCATGGGAGACCAGGAGAAGCACCTGGCTCCTGCCACCGGATCAGCGCGGTGCACCAGCCGTGGCAGCCACTGGAGGGTGAACCAACGGCAATGGAAGACCTTTCTCTCTGTCTCTCTCTCTCTCACTGTCCACTCTGCCTGTTAAAAAAAAAAAAATTGGAAGAGATGTATACATCTTCCAGTGGAAAAGAACATGTAAATAGCTAAGACAGTGAAGGAAAATAGCGTCAGCACAGAAGGTCAAGATGGGGGCAGAATTGGAGCACTGAGGCATTAATTCTGTGGCCTTGAGACGTTCTTAAAGTTTGAATGTTTATTATCTGCAATATCCTGCATAATTATTGAATTCAAACTGGGAACTTGGCTGAGATGTTTTGCGGTTGTAATAAGGAAATATGGATGTTTATATAAGTTGCATAATTCAAAGGAAAAAGCAAACTAATTCTTCGTAGGAAGTGAATGTTACTTGGTCATTAGTTACTTTATTCCCTCGATGAAGTCTTTGTGAATAAATGATTAAATGGATAATGTCCATAAGATAGACATAATAAATGCATAATCTTATGGCTTGTTTTCTTTTTTTAATAGTATTCCTCAGATATGACACAAAGGTAGAATGTGAAGCAGGACTTAGTGACATAATTTATTTCTTTTTAAGTTGTGAAGACTAATTCACATGCCAAAAGTCCATGAAGAAATAAAAGTAGAGCTTATTGAATTACTGTCAATAATTGCTGATCATATGAGACCAGCGCTCAGGTCAGACAGGAGGACATTGTTAGCTGCTGTGAGGGCCTGTACTCTCCAGGTTACCACCCTTTCCTCCTGACACAGCGCTCAGGTCAGGCAGGAGGACGTTGTCAGCTGCCGGGAGGGCCTGTACTCTCCAGGTTACCACCCTTTCCTCCTGACACAGCGCTCAGGTCAGGCAGGAGGACGTTGTCAGCTGCCGGGAGGGCCTGTACTCTCCTAGTTACCACCCTTTCCTCCTGACACAGTGGTCAAAGTCCCTGACTTTTTTGGTAACCTTTTCTTTGTTTTCCTTTATAGTTTAAATGCAGTTGTTTGTTTTACCTGCTATGTATTTACTCATTTGGGTCTTGCATTTTAATTAAGTATTCTGTTCGTGAGAGTCATTGAAATTGCAAGGCTCTCTCTACTTAAGGTGCTTTTTTAAAGATTTTATTTATTTGAGAGGTAGAGTTATGGACAGAGAGAGACAGAAAGGTCTTCCATCTGCTGGTTCACTCACTCTCCAAATGGCTGTGATAAGCGGATCAGAAGCCAGGAGGCAGGACCTTCTGGGTGTCCTACGCGGGTGCAGAGTCCCAAGCACTTGGGCCATCTTCCACCGCTTTACAGGCCATAAGCAGAGAGCTGGATTGGAAGAAAAGTACTGGGACATGAACCAGCACCCCTATGGGTGGAGGCTTAGCCTATTACACCATAGCACCGGCTCAAGGTAGCTTTTTTCCTTTTTTAATAGATTTATTTATTTATTTGAAAGGCAAAGTTACAGAGAGGGAGAGAGAGATCTTCCATTTGCTGGTTGACTCCCCAGATGACCACATTGGAAGCCAGGAGCCAAAAGCTTCCTCCAGGTCTTCCAAGTGGGTGCAGAGGCCCAAGGACTTGGACCATCCCCCATTGCTCCCCCAGGACATAGCAGAGAACTGAATTGGAAGTAGGGTAGCCAGGACTTGATCCAGTGCCCATATGGGATGCCAGCACTGCAGGCGGTGGCCTTACCTGGTGTGCCACAGCGCCGGCCCCTGAGGTACCTTTTAATATCACAAAATCCAGTTTTTCATTTCCAATTGTCTCATAAAATTCATGAATTGTTTATAGTTTGTTAAATCCTAATCCAAATAAAGTTCATACAGTGCAGTTGACTGATTTGTCTCTTAGTCTTTTATAATATATTGAGGTTTTTAATTTTTTGCTAGCCAGATCAGTTGTTGAAGAGGCCAGGTCATTTTTTCTGTGTAGTTTTCCACTGTCTATATTTATTTATTTATTTGAAAGGCAGAGTTACAGAGGCAGAGAGAGAGAGGTCCTCCATTCACTGGTTCACTCCCCAGATGGCTGCAACAGCCTGAGCTGCACTGATCCTAAGCCAGGAACCAGGAGCCTCTTCTGGGTCTCTCATGTGGCTGCAGGGGCCCAAGGACTTGGGCCATCCTCCACTGGTTTCCCAGGCCACAGAAGACACCTGGATCAGAAGTGGAGCAGCCGGCACTTGAACCGGTGCCCATATGGGATCTGGGCACTGCAGGCGGCGGCTTTACCCACTATGCCACAGCACTGGCCCCTCCCATTGTCTTTATTTTGCCAGTAATATTCCCATAGTGTTGTTAATATGTTCTGTTGGGGCTGGTACTTTTTAAAAACTTGAAAAAATTTGTTACATGATTGTTTGAGAGGCAGAGTGACAGAGAGAGCACGCTCCCATCTACTGAATCACTTCCCAGATGTCCCTGAGCCAGGAACTCAGTCCAGGTCTCCCATGTGAGTGACAGAAACCAGTTACTTAGGCCATCATCAGTAACTCCCCGAGTCTATGTTAGCAGGAAGTTAGAATCAGGAACCAGAGGAATTCCTGTATGGGACATGGGCATCCTAATTGCTCTTAAACTGCTAGGCTAAATGCACACCCTGCAGTTCATCTTGAGGAAGTCATCAGTTTGTTTTGGTGTATCAAAAGAATAAATATAAATTTAATAATTGCAATCATACTGTTTTGTTAGCCTCGCTTTTTTGTTTCAATATTTATGTTTTATTTGCATTATATTGCACTGGCTAACCTTCAGGACAATGTAGACTGGTAATAGTATTAGGGAGAGGCCGGCGCCGCGCCTCAACAGGCTAATCCTCCACCTAGCGGCGCCGGCACACCGGGTTCTAGTCCCGGTCGGGGCGCCGGATTCTTTCCCGGTTGCCCCTCTTCCAGGCCAGCTCTCTGCTGTGGCCTGGGAAAGCAGTGGAGGATGGCCCAAGTGCTTGGGTCCTGCACCCCATGGGAGACCAGGAGAAGCACCTGGCTCCTGCCATCGGATCAGCGCGGTGCGCCAGCCGCAGCGGCCATTGGAGGATGAACCAACGGCAAAAGGAAGACGTTTCTGTCTCTCTCTCTCACTGTCCACTCTGCCTGTCAGAAAAAAGAAATAGTATTAGGGAGCATCATTTTTTTTTTTTTTTAAGATTTATTTATTTGAAAGTCAGTTATACTGAGAGAGAAGGAGAGGCAGAAAGAGAGAGAGGTCTTCCATCTGCTGGTTTACTCCCCAGTTGGCCGCAACAGCTGGAGCTGTGCCAATCCGAAGCCAGGAGCCAGGAGCTTCTTCTGGGTCTCCCACACAGGTGCAGAGGCCCAAGGACTTGGGCCATGTTCTGCTGCTTTCCTGGGCCACAGCAGAGAGGTGGATTGGAAGTGGAGCAGCCAGGATTCAAACCACCGCCCGTATGGGATGCTGGCAGTGTTGGCGGCGGCTTTACCTGCTGTGCCACAGCACTGGCCCCAGGGAGCATCTTTGTCTTACAATTCTGCCTGCACTGTCTAATGTGGAACTACTGCAGTTCCATTTTGGTGTTAACCGCCCAGAGATAACCACTGCTAATTGCTGGTTAAGGGCACAGTTCTCACTGAAGTTGCCAGTTGCAAGTTTGGGGATCCCCAGAGCTGAACAACAGGCTACACATTCAGAGGAATTCCTTTGATCCTCTCAATTTGATAATTTTCTAGAGCAACCCATAAAACTCAGGAAAGCATTGTACATAGGATTGCAGTTTCATTATTAAGGATGTAAATCAGCCAAATGATTCAGTAGATGCAGCAAAGTCTGGGGGGGTGCTGACTTTGGAGCATTCATGCCTGTCCTCTTGAAATTAGTATCCATGACGACCCTGGACATACTGATCTGTTTACAATCCAGTAAACCACCTAGGATTTGGTGCCTACAGTCTTTCTTGGAATTTGACTGTATAAGCATGAATGAAGCATTGGCTGTGTGAAGGAACTCACTCTCCAACCCTCTTCCCCTCCCTGGAGGTTGGGCTGCTGTCTCCTGGCTCAAAGCTCCAATCCTCTGGCCATGTGATAGGTTTAAACATCTTGTCCAGTCCCTGTTCTGAGATTCCATGGAGGATTGCCATGAATCACCTTGTTACCCTAAATTCTGGAGAGGTCCCCATGAGTGAGAAAGACACTTCAGGCCCTGGGAAAATTCCAGGGTTTTGGAGATTCCATTCCAGAAACTTAGGAAAAAGACCAGGCAATTTTTGGGTTATTTTAAAATTTTATTTGAAAGGCAGATAGAGATAGAAATTTTCCACCCGCTAGTTCACGTTCTAAATGCTTACAATAACCAGGGCAACACCAGAAGTCTGGAACCCAATTTGGGGTTCCCATGTGGGTGACAGGGACCCAAATGTTTGAGACATCATCTGTAGCCTTCTAGGGTGTGTGTTAGCAGGCAGCTGGAATCAGAAGCAAAGCTGGAACTCAAACCTAGTTATTCCAGTATTGGATGGTTGTGCCCCAAGTGCTGTCTAAACTTGCTTTCCCAAATGCCTACTCCCATATAGATTTTTGATTACATACTATCTTTGTGTGCTAGATTAAGTTAATTTAAAAGTCAGTTCCTTATCACTTTTGAAATGTTCAGTATACACTTGTGGCTAGGAATATATTTTGAATAGTACAGATACAGGACATACCAGTTATGAAAAACTTATTAAACAGTGCCAATCTAGTCCATAGGGAGTATCAACATATTACAATTAAATATGACTCAGCTGTAGATAATTTATGGGGTAGATTGAATTCCCTCCTTTTCCTGGTTTATTAATAACATTTTGTTATATGCCTTTTTTGTGCCTTTTGAGTTAATTGTGGTTTTTCTCCTTTATTATATTAATATGATTAATTATATTGATTTTTCAATGTTAAATTTACCTTGTATTTCTAGAAGAAACCTCATTTGGTTGGGCCATACTTTGCTTTTATACATAGCTTGATTCATTTTCCTAATATTTTTACATGGCTTGATTCAATTTGTTATTATTTTGTTAGCAGTTTTGATTCTGTCTTTTTATTGATTGATTGTATCTTACAAGTGTTTTCCTGTAATTCTCTTTTCTTGTGTCCTTGTTGGGTTTGGGATCAGATGTCTGCCGACCTTAAAAAAAACAATTTGCAGGGGCCAGCGCTGTGGCACAGTGGGTTAAGCCATTGCCTGCAGTGCTGGCATCCCTTATAGCACAGGTTTGAGTCCTGGCTGCTCCACTTCCAATCCAGGGGGAGGGGAAAAAGAAGAGCTTACTGTCTTTTTTTGGGTGGGGGGGCATTTATTTATTTATTTGAAAGAGTTACAGAGAGCAGGAGAGAGAGAGAGAGACAGAGATGTATCTTCCATCTGCTCGTTCATTCCTCAAATGGCCTCAACTGCCGGGTCCAGGCCAGGCTGGAGCCAGGAGCTTCATCCAGGTCTCTCTGTGGGTGCAGGGGCCCAAGTACTGGGCCATCCTCCTCTGCTTTCCCAGGTACATCAGCAGGTACCTGGATCAAAAGTGGAGCGGCCAGGATTTGAACCAGCACCCACAGGGGATGTTGGCAGTGTTGGCAGTGGTTAAGTTTAGAATAATTCATCGCTGAAGACATCTAGAGCTTGACTTTTCTTTGAAGGAAGATTTTATATTTATTTTCATTTTATTTGAAAGACACACAGAGATCTTCATTGCATTGGTTCATTCCACAAATGCCTACAACAGCCTGGGCTGGGCCAGGTCGATGTCAGGAGCCAGGATCTCCAGCCTGAAGCAACTACTGATTTGCTTATTCTCCATCATAGGTTTGCACTTTGGAGATTTCATGTAAATAGATTTATGTTACATGGAGTCTTTTGTGTTCTGTATCTTTCAGTTAGCACAATGATTTTGAAGTCCATGTTATAGCATGTGACAGGGATTTATTCCTTCATACTGTGGGGGAGTAGTTCATTCTATGGATAAGGACACATTGTGTTTACTCACTGGTTGATGAGTATTTGGGCTGTTTTCACTCTGTCATTATTCTAAGCATTACTGATATAAGCAGTCATATACCTATTCTGTATGGACGTATGTTTCGTTTCTCTTGCATACATACCTATAGTTGGAATTGCCAGGTAGCATGGTAAAAGTACATTGAGCTTTGAGAGCTCTTGAACCATCTTGTATTCGTTTAGTATGAGGTTCCATTTTCTCCACATCCTTCCCAGCACTTGTTCTTGTAACATTTTTATTATATAATTCTAGTGAATGTTACATAGTACCTTTTTTTTTTTTTTTAATTTAAATTTTGAGAGAAGGATGCTACCATCCACTCATTCAGTCCCCAAATACCTGCAGCAGTCTGGGTTGATTCAGGGTCGGAGCCAAGAAAGAGCCAGGGCTTAATCCAGGTCTCCCACATGGTGTGGCAGGGACCTAGCCGAGCTATCGCTGCAGCCTTCTAAGGTCTGCCCTGGTGGGAAGCTGTAGTTAAGAGCCAGAGCTGAGAATCAAAGTCAGGCACTCCAGTGTGGTACATGGTTTTTGTTTTTGTTTTGTTTTTGACATTTATTTATTTGAAAGAGTTATAGAGAGGGTGAGGCAGAGAGAGAGAGGTCCCATCCACTGGTTCACTCCCCAAATGGCCCCAGCAGCCAGGACTGGCCCAGGCTAAAGCCAGGAGCTAGGAGCTTCGCTTCATCCTGGTCTCTTGTGGATGCAGGAACCCAAGGACTTGGGCCATCTTCTGCTTTACCAGGCTTTTTAGCAGAGAGCTGGATTGAAAGTGGAGCATCTGGGTCTTAAACCGGTGTCCATATGTGCTGCTGCACTGCGGGCAGCAGCTTTACCTGCTGTGCCACAGCACTGGCCCCCTTTTTCAAAGATGTATTGTATCTGTTTGAAAGGCAGAGTTAGAGCAAGAGCTCCTCTGTCTGCTGGTTACTCCCCAAACTTCCACTACAGCCAGGGCTCGGTTCAGGCCAAAGCTAGGAGCCAGGAGCTTCTCCCAGGGGCTGAAGGACTTGGGCCATCCTCCACTGCTTTCCCAGGTGCATTAGCAGGGAGCTGGATCAGACATGGATCAGCTGGGACCTGAACTAGTGCCCATATGGGATGTTGGTGCTGCAGGTGGTGGCTTAACCCACTACACCACAACACGGGCCCCGACAGGCCTCTTAACTACTGGACTATTTTCCCTCTCACTATGGTTTTCATGACTGATGATGGTAGTTATTACTCCCTGTGTTTATTAGTCATTCTTACATTTTCTTCGGTGAAATGTGTTCATATATTCTACCTGTGTCTTTTGATTATGGAGTTAGAAGATTTCCTTATATATTCTGGGTCAGGTTCTTTATCATAAATATAATTATCAAATATTTCTTTCTATTCTGTGTCTTATCACTTCATTATTTAATTGGTGTCTTAAAGTATAAATCTTCAAATTTTATTTTGCTTCTTCAGTAAGAATGTAGAAACCTGTCTCCTTTATATTGTGATTGTTTTATATATCTCATGTACAGATATTGAAAACTCTTATAAGAGAATGTTGCAATTTTTGCTTTCAACTGTTAGATAAATTTGAGAGGAGAACCGCTTAATATATATTTGGTCCTGTTGTATTTCTGAGTTGCACGGTGGTATCATTTCCCTTCTATCTAAATGTCATATGCTAGTAACTCTTATAGAGCAGACCTTTAATTCTTAGTTGTTTTTTTTTTCCCTATAAGAAAATGTTTTTATTTCACAGTCATTCCTGGTGAATATTTAAGGTAGATTCAGAATTCTAGATTCACAGATCTTTCAGTGCATTAAAAATGTTCCACTTCCTTCTGGTCTTTATGCTTTCTTTTTTTTTGGACAGGCAGAGTGGACAGTGAGAGAGAGAGACAGAGAGAAAGGTCTTCCTTTGCCGTTGGTTCACCCTCCAATGGCCGCCGCGGCTGGCGCAGCGCGCTGATCCGATGGCAGGAGCCAGGAGCCAGGTGCTTTTCCTGGTCTCCCATGGGGTGCAGGGCCCAAGCACCTGGGCCATCCTCCACTGCACTCCCTGGCCACAGCAGAGAGCTGGCCTTGAAGAGGGGCAACCGGGACAGAATCCGGCGCCCCGACTGGGACTAGAACCCAGTGTGCCGGCGCCGCTAGGCGGAGGATTAGCCTAGTGAGCCACGGCGCCAGGCCCCAAAAGTGTTTTTTTTTTTTTTTTAATATTGATTTTACTTGAAAGTTACAGTTACAGAGAGAGAAGGAGAGGCAGAGAGAGAGAGAGGTCTTCCTTCCGCTGGTTCACTCCCCAGATGACCACAACGGCTGGAGCTGTGCCGATCTGAAGCCAGGGCAGGGGCTTAAGGGCTTGGGCCATCTTCTACTGCTTTCCCAGGTCATAGCAGAGAGCTGATTGGGAGTGGAGCAGCCGAGTCTCAAACCGGTGCCCATGTGGGATGCTGGCACTGTAGGCAGAGGCTTTGTCCCCCTAGGCCACAGCGCTGGCCCTTGAACGTATTATTTTACTACTATGTCTTCCATTGATAAATTGGACATTCAGTAAATATTTTGCTATTTCTTCCATGAATGTATATTTACCTATTCCCGTGACTGTGTTGTATAAATAGAAGAATGCACAGTGCCATTTTATCACATTAAATATAAAGAAGTGATACTGGCATCCCATATAGGTGCCAGTTCAAGTCCCAACTGCTCCATTTCTGATCCAGCTCCCTGATAATGTGCCTGGGAAAATAGCAGATGGTCCAAGTACTTGGGCCCTTGCCACCCACAGGGGAGACTTGGAAGAAGTTCCTGGCTCTTGCCTTCGGTCTGGCCCAGCCCCAGCTGTTGTGGCCATTTGGGGAGTTGATGGAAAATCTCTCTCTGTCTCTAACTCTGCCTTTCAAATAAAATAAATCTTATATTATCCATTTCTATATATATATGTGTGTGTGTGTGTGTGTGTGTGTGTGTGTGTATAAAAAGAAAAAGCAAGGACATAGTAGGCATTTTGTATAACCTACTGTGATGAGAACAGTGTGCTTAAGCTCTGTTATATTCTTTTCACATCATGCAGTGATCACTGCTTCAGATTTACCAAGTTGTGCTCTTGCAGGAGTCATTTTCATTTGAAGATTTATCTGTGGGTTTCACCCGAAAGGAATGGCAGCTACTGGATCCACAACAGAAAAAGTTATACAAGGATGTCATGTTGGAGAACTTTAGCAACCTAGTGTCACTGGGTAAGAAATGTTTCCTCAGGTACCTTGGACTATGCTCAGTAAATTGCTCTCCCCCTTGTTATACTTACTGAGAGCTATGGACTCTGAATTTTTTAATACTTGTATAGTTAAATTAGGTGATTAAAATTCATTGAACCCCATGAGAGTATTTCAGGCATGGAAAGCCAAGACACTCTGGCAAAAGATCTCTGTGAGTGAGATCTCAGTGGAAAGAACAGGTCTTCAAAGAAGGAGGTACCTTTCTCTGAAGGGAGGAGAGAACCTCCACTTTGACTATGACCTTGTCTAAACAAGATAAGAGTCGGAGAACTCAAGGGGCTTCCATAGCCTTGGAAACTCATGACTGGAGCATAGGGAGATTACTGATGCCATAGACAGGAGTGTCAATTGGTAAAGTCAACAACAGGAGTCACTGTGCACTTACTCCTCATGTAGGATCTCTGTCCTTAATGTGCTGTGCATTGAGATTTAATGCTATAACGAGTACTCAAATAATATATTGCACTTTGTGTTTCTATGGGGGTGCAAACTGTTGAAATCTTTACTTAATGCATACTAAACTGATTCTTCTGTAATGAAGAAAAAACAAAAGAAACTATCAACT